TATGATGGCTGGATGGATTGAGACTATCCTAGATTTTACATTTGAAGTCGTGCATTTACCAGGAGCAATGAACATTTTTCCGGATTTATTGAGCAGACTATATCCACCTGTGGAGAATGAGAGTACGCAGTTAATAGTGGAGGAAAGTGAAGAGCGTAGTCGGGAGAGACATGAGCAAAATCGCAAGAATCGTGGTGCAAAAAATATGATTAAGAAGAAGCGGTATAGCAAAGATCAAGCAGTAAATATCTTTGCTACACAAGTGATTGAAAATGCGAAGGAAGATCTTGATTACATGACACCTCCTGAGGAAGAGCGAGATGAGATTTTACAAGAGATTCACATGTTTGGGCATTATGGCGCACAGGCGATTGTGAGAGAATTGCACTCGCAAGGGTTGCATTGGGCTAATGTGTATGAAGATGCTAAGAGGTTGGTCAGTAGCTGTCCAGAATGTCAGAAGCACAATATTGCAAAGAGAGGGTGGCATCCGCTCAAGAATGTAGTTTCGCTTCAGCCGATGTCGCATGTGTCAGTGGATTTGGGTGGCCCAATGACGATGACCTTTGATGGATATGTGTATATAATGGTTGTCACAGATCTGTGTACCAAGTATGTGATTTTGCGCCCATTAAAGTCGAAGGAAGCAACGAGCATTGCTAGAGAATTGATTAAGGTGTTTGGGGATTACTCATTTCCTATTATTATGCAGAGCGATCATGGTGGGGAATTCGAGAATCACTTGCTTCAGGCAATCAGTGAGAACCTAGGTTTGCAGCGCAACTATTCTACCCCATACGCAGCCAGAGGTAATGGGAGTGCGGAGGCGAGTGTGAAAATTGTGATGAATACGCTGAGGAAAATGTGTAACTCTAATGCGCGAGAATGGAGCGATTACCTTCCAATTGTGCAGCTTTGTTGTAATCGTTACATCAAGAGTAAATCGATGACTTCGCCGTTCTCGCTGATGTTTGCCAGGCGAGTTACACTGCCAGAGGATTATGCCAACAAAGACAAATACCCGATCCCTAAGGATATCATGTCAGTAAAAGAGCTTGAAGAGCGTATTGACTACATGCACAAGGTGGTATTTCCAGCGATCAATGAACGAGAGGCCAAGATGAATGCGATTATGCAGAAGAGGTTTAATGACAAGCATATGCTCGTGGACATTCCAGTGGGTGCTCATGTGATGGTAAAGATACGTCAACGACCAAGCAAGTTGAGTCCCATTTATGATGGTCCATATACGGTCATTCGTAGAAATCAAGGCGGGTCATACGAGTTGAAGGATGAAATGAATGAGATTCTTCATCGCAACTATGTACCATCCGAGCTAAAGGTGGTGAACATAGATGAAAAGGCCATTGATGATGAGTATTTCGAAATTGAGGCGATTCGAGATCATAGGGGCAAAGCAGCGAATCGTGAGTATCTCATCAAATGGAAGGGCTATGGTGAACGCATGTGTTCGTGGATAACTGCAGAAGATGTATCGGATCCCCATATTTTGCAAAGATATTGGCAAAAGCATGTGCAGCTGCAGAAGCAAGAAGAAGGGCGCATCCGAGAGCGAGTGGCTCAAATGCCGAGTAAGCAACAGAGGAAACGTGCTGCCACTGGGGAAGCAGATCAGGCGGGGGCTCCTCAATCCCCAGCGAAGCGGCGTCGGGCCACTTATGTTAGGAAGAAGACAGGATAAGTGGGAAGGTGAGCGACAGTGGGGACGAGGTAAGAGTGGTGATCGAGAGGGTGTTGTCATGTGTTGTGGTAGCAGTGTACCTTTTTACCTGATCATTGTTTTTTTTTTCCCATTGGGTTTTACATTGATTGGGATGTTTTAATGGCCATTGTTCCGAATTCATGATAACACATAGGAAGTATTTCAACGAGCCAAGCTTGTGTGATCTATCTCCTGTGGTGTAGTGTTTATCGAATCGACAATTCTTGCAGTATTATCGATTCTGGTGGGGACGAATGTTGAGGATATAGATCATCTCTGAGAGGCAAATGTATTAGGCGTCGTATATTACATAAGAGGATCTGAGAATGAGCTGAGATGCATAGTAGAAGTGAGAGGTCTTTATTCAAGCAGCACGAAGGAACATGAGTGGTGCCATCAAATGGCTAATCTATATCCTGGTTCCTAGAGAGTGGTAGCCTATGGCCTTTCGTCCCTGGAAGTGGGTTTCAATTCCGACAAATGTTCTTCCGTCAAAGCTATTAGGAAGAACATTCTATCCTGGATCATCTTTGTTGTTTATCCTTGACTGGCGGTTCATGAGTTCTGATGCAGCACATCCTCGTTACTGGTTCAAGGCTTATACAATTATCCCGCATTCAAAATCAAGGTCCTATTGCTGCGGCACTGTCAAATAACTATAAATACCTTTGATATCTACACTAGTTTTGATCCCTATTCAATCTTGGAATAACATAATAAATATATTCAGTTCTAATTGTATTTACTCTGTCTATATTTCGTTATTCTAAACATAGCGAAGCCAAAATGTAAAGTTTTAGTGTTTAAATAGCATATTCGCTTTCTCATTTCCATTACCATTAGCAGGCTTAGCGACAACATAATAACGCATCAAAATTTACATGAGTTAGTCTCACCGAAATTGTGGAATACATCCACTATGATCTGCATTTCGACAGTTTATCCAGTTACCAGATTTAGATATAAACTGTATGTACACTGGATTAGATGTACGATATCGATTTATACTATGATCATGAGAAGATATGGACTTCAGATACGCTAGTACTATAAGATTCATACTATATAAGATATAGGCTATAGATGGCACCACGGACATGAATGGCACTATAGACTTATACTTGTATTCCGACATTGACTACGGATGTTTACCATATCTGGATAGGCACCAAGATTAATGCAATATGAGCTTGTTGCTTCAGATGTGCACTTCATGATCCACGCTATAAGACACATGCTTATATCCGTGATACTAGCTACAGATACTCTATGTACTACAGACTTGTACTATATATGAGACATGCTATAGACATGCATACGATATGCTATAGACATGCCATATATCCAGATACATGCTAAAGATGTATGCTTAGCGATATACACTCAGATATGTACTATTAATTTAGACTAAGAAGACTGTACCTATCGGATACATGCTACTAGATCGATATTAATTATCCTTATGGAAAGGATAGATCAGGGTACTTCGGATGAGAGTCTAATTATTCATCCAGACAGAGCTAAATCATGATTAGCTTGCTGGAGTTGTCTTTTAGCATGATTAGACATTAGTTGATCTGAGTTGACTTATTTGTCAATCTAATTAATAGAACTTTTATCCATTGTTATAGTATATAAGAAGGATCATCTACCTGGCCAGTAGAGAGACTTCAGTTTACTTTACACCTGTCAGTTTGATAGTAAGACATACCTTTATCAAGTTGACTTTACTGTTATTTTTATTCTTTTTTTTCTCCGTGAATTTTAGTCTATAAAGCCTCAAATTCCACAGGTTCCATACTTCAATAACAAACATCACACTTTAAACCATCAAAGTTACATTAAACCATGCTATGACGATAGCTCACCCAAGCCTGTTGTGCCAGAAGGGCTACAACTGTCTATAAAGATTAAGGTATTCTTGATGGGTAGATATGTCTGTGTTGTGCAACAACATGGACAAGCTATGATAAGTGAAGTGCATTTCAGCTATCTAAATACTGAGGTTCACCAGATGTGATAAGCGTTGTACAAGATAAATTGCTACTTTGGCATTCAGAACTTAGTATAAATAGAATAACTCTTGTCTTCATCAATAAATCTTTAGTTTTTTGTGTCTGATCTTATTCAAATAAGTCTTTTCTTGTTTTTATAATATTGAACATTTTTTATAAGCTACAAATAATAATCCTTTTATTCTTTGTGCTTAACAAAGCCCATCAAAGTTACTCAAATCAACCCTTATGGCCAGTGCTCTTGCATTGATTACCACTTTAAATCAAACATCAACAACATTTGCCAGATATTGCAATAGCAGCACCTATTGCTCTCTATTATCACTAATCCTACAAGCTAGTTGCAAATGTTTAAATACTCTTCTTTTTTTTTTTTTTTTACTCAATTCCAGGATCTTCAGTTCATTTTATACACAAATAAAATACAGTTGATTTCTATTGTATTTTACTATTGCTTTATTTTTTTTGTGAAATCTATTCAAACCTGATTTCACTGCAAGACCCTTTAAATTTTTCTTTGCTTAAGAGTAAGATAATAAGGTACAATTGTTTGATTTGGCATCCATTATACTGTTTGTTTTGTGAATGGTGTCTTTTAATTTTCCTATATCACTTCATCTATAATGTTACCCGTTGTGTAGAATCAAAAAGCACCCATCATTTGGGATCTTAGTTAAAGCAGCAGCATCAGCTCTCGTGAACAACCTTCAGTGCCCAATAGGGCAGCTCCTGTCAAAAGTGTCCAAAATCGATGGATGAAGGCTAACTTTTGCTACAGCAGGGGGGCATATAAGATTCTTTTTGTGCATTGCCATCAGTCATACCATGCGCTAGATTTATTTTATAGACTAGAGCATCACATCATACAGATGCCTCCCTAGTGTTATTTATGAAAGCCCTGTTTTTGTCACTGTAACCTCCAATTTGCGGTCAAAAAGCCTATTTTTACAAGGAAGCACCATCGTAAGTAGTGCCAAAACATGGTCTCATTTTTAGAATCAACACAGGAAAAAAGTTTGATTAACGAAGGACGGAGACAGTGGATTGATTTAACAGATTTGCATTACACTGTTTTTGTTTATTTATTATGATATTTATGTAAGTATAATTCAGAGTAGATTCTTCCCAAATATTATGACGGCTTACCCTGACATTAGGGTTATAACATCAAACCTGACCTTGAATTAGAGCGTCGTACACTGTAGCATACGATTTTGCATAACTTTAGTAGGTTTACATTTATTATATACAGCAGCATGTCCTTATATTTCTAATGCAATTCTATTATGACTAGACGTATCTAGTTGATTACTTTTTGATTGCTTCTTTGCGATCCAATTTAATCGATTTGCCCATTTGGCGCTAAGCTGATATAACCATAGAGCATAGGCTAACGATTTATACTGCCACCAAGCGCTGAATAATTGCTTTAGTAAATCAAAACTAAATCCAATCATCTTGATTCTTTCCACAATGTGTTTCTTGGTATCAAGCCAAACGGCTTTTGAACAGTAAAATCCCATGATAACATAAGTATCGCGATCATCTGCGACCTTGTTCAGTTTCTCATCCACATGTCGAAGGAGATCATTTGTTTTCAGCAGCAGTAACACAGGTCGAGGCAGCTTACCAAGGATATCAGCGACTTCCACCAAGTAGGTCATGGCTCCATCAGATATTCGACCCACTTCATCGCTTTCGCGGATACTGCTGAGATCCGACTTGCTGATCTTATCCCACTCGCGACCCGTGAGCATGCAGGCAAACAACTGATAGATGTCAGTACCGCCCACTCGATAGGAGTACTTGCGGATTCCCTCTTCGTCTGCCTTAATTAAGGATGTCCACAGATGAGCGTAGTTGGATCGAAGGTCTTCTGACAGATCTCGATAGAGCCCGTGATCCAAAAGAACGAGATCAAAGTTGTGCTTTGAATGCTTGGGATTTTTAGCAGGTCGAATAAAGACATTTCCAGGGTCTAGCAATACATGAGTTGTTTGTTTATACTGTTTGTGCGTTTGGGTTACTTACGAGGATCACAATGGACGAATCTATGAAAGGCATGATTAGGGATAAAGGATTTGAAGTGGATGAAAAAGCTCTGTACTTTACCCGTGCAAAAAGATCATTTCTGAAAAGACTCGGGTCAACTCGCTGGACACTTGCTTGGGGTCAATGTTGTGCTGCTTCATGTATTCTAGATCATCCACTCTGGATCCGCTTATAACTAGCAAGCAAGCATACATGTCAGCGTGTATACCATAATGCTAGACACAGACAGACACTTACATTCCATGCACATGATGCGTCTCTTGGCCCAAACGACGCGAGGAATCACAAGCGAGGTGTTGTTTCTACGCCTCTCCTCAGCAAAATTGGCTTCTACTCTTCTGGCATTTTGAGTTTCATGCACGAAATCCAGCTCCTTTGGAATGGACTCTCTCATCTCCTCTGCAAACCAATCAAATCCAAAATCAGGGAATACTCGCTTTACGATTTCGAAAATGAATGAGACAGTGTCCATGTCCAACTGACAGTAATCATCCAGATAAGGGTGTTGTAATTTCACTGCTACCCAGCGATCCTCCTCGTTATCGATCCACTGCTCATTCTGTTCCAGTAATTGTACGCTTTGTTTTGATAGTCTCGCTCGGTGGACTTGTGCCAATGAAGCGACGCCTAACGGTGTGTAGTCGAATTCCTCAAACACTTGCTCTACTGGTAACCCATAATCAGACAGAAACAATTCTCGAATGTCATCAGGTGAGGTGGGATCACAACGATCTTGCAGCACTCGCATTGTCTGGCACCATTCATTAGGCAGCAGGTACTGCATCACAGAGATATGCTGACCTAATTTAACGTAGACACCACCCAAGCGTTGAATAGCCACCAACACTCGCTCAGCACATCGCTGATGACAGGCACGCTTGGCTTCTTCAAAGGTAGCTTCATCTGCGTAGTCTTTGGAGAGGGTGCGCTGATAGTCATAGGCTACTTTGGCACCTACAGCACCTGCAATGCCACATCTCTCCAAGGCATTGCCAACATGACGAAAGCGATCATTGGTGTTGTAGAGGATCGTGCCGCCTACGCCTACAGTGACAGTGGTAGCCAAAGTGGCCATGGCAGCACCACTCACAATTCGACGCACAAGGCTCTTTTTCTGTAATTGCTGTTGTTGTTGCTGGATTGTTGCATAGCATCGACGTTGCCACAATGCAGCCATAGCTGGTCGCCCAAGTAATAATCGGCTTTGATTCATATAAACAAAAGACGGGTTCGTTGGCAGCAGAACTAAGAAGAGAAAAAATTTAATCAAACACATCTCGACATGATGATATAATTCAGGGATAGGTGTAGCAGCGATTGGCTCGGATCTGACGGGTGCTCGTGAACCGCGCGCACAGCAATGATGGCTGTATGTTACCCCAGATTGTAAAGAGTGTGGTGGAAAGAGACAAACAGCACATATTAGGGAACCATCGAAATGCTGTCAGGGAGTTAATTTGAGATATTGCAAGTTGAACTGCATGCTAATATTTACGCGCGCGCGGTCTCTGTCCAATGTCTGTTCCTTGCAGCAACAGCAGCAGAGAACAGCCGATCCTTATGCCGCTCTCTTGGTGAATGGTACCATTTGCATTCAACTCAAAGAATTGAGGGAGTAGCTGTCGACCGTTAATTAAGGACATCGGAAATTACTGCAGAATGTGTGCTGTATTGCGCTGTCTCTTTCATGCTTTTGATGCCTTCTTGTTGCGGGTCCATTGTGTATGCTTTCTCCTAACAATCAATGGAAGAAAATTATCATGATAACCGCCACTTGCATGCAAACTTGACTCGAGTATTTATAGCCAACATTCTGGCTCCCTTTGCTTTCATTCTTCTTTCTCTCTCTCTCTCTCTCTCTCTCTTTCATTCTTCACAACATGCATATGCTTCCCATTTACCTGGTCTTGTGCAGTCTTCTGCTCTGGGTTGCTCAAGGCCTCATAGATCAGAACAGCCCTACGTATGGCAGCCACCAGTTGATCACCTATGTTGTTGATTGGGTGAGTGTGTGTTTAGTGCTTTTGTGAAAAGACATTCTTGACAACTTTTGGCGTATACGTAGGATGTGCCAAAGATCATTCCCTGGACAAAACTCGATCACGTTGCTTATGCTTTTGCAGTGCCTGACAGACATGGCGATTTGACCATGTTTGATGCAGAACAGCTCCAACAAGGTACTCTAAGCCGGATCCTAGATTCATGCCAAAAAGCTTAACCAGTTGTCATTCTAGTTGTCGAGGAAGCTCATGACCATGGAAAGGGTGTCAGTCTTGCTATTGGAGGGTAACTTAGTTGAATGTCGTCAAGAATGAAATGTGTAGATAGTAATCATTATTGGCATTTCTAGCTGGACTGGTTCCATTCACTTTAGCACATTGGTAAGAACTTCTGCTGACCGTAGAAAGTTTGCAAAGAAGATCATGGCAGCGGTTGAAAAGTACGACCTGAACGGTGTCAATCTGGATTGGGGTAATTATATACACTGTGCTGAATGGACGCGGACCTCATGCTCTTTTGCCAGAATATCCTAATGATCCCAACGGCATCTCCTGTAACAGAAAGTATGTATCGTCGTGTGTATATAGACATTACGTTGGCTGACTCGATCAGTACTCGATTAGACATCCCAAGGACACGGCCAACTTTCTGGCTTTCATCCAAGTCCTCCGCAGAATGCTGGATGAAAAGTATCCTGACGAGCACAAGCTGATTACTGCCGCTGTCAGTGCTCACGTATTCAGAGATGCTGATCGTAACGTTATAGAAAATCTCGATGATGGCTGGGCTGATTTCATGGATGCATTCTATATCATGGTATGTAATTAGAAGCCTAAATGCTTTACGGGGGGTTACTCAGACCAAAGTGATAGGCTTACGATATCAATGGCGTATGGAGTGACAAGACGTCTGCAAATGCTCCCCTGCATTATGGTGTTGCTGGACAGCATGTGAGTGTAGAGTCATCGATCCAAGAATGGCTTGATGCTGGTATTCCTTCTGACCGCCTCTATCTCGGTGTCCCATTCTACGGATACACCCACAAGACACTGAAGCCTATGGATCAACAGACTGGCTTGAACGTGCCTCTGGATAGATCCATTGAGCAGATCAAAGGTGACCAGTATGATGACTATGCTATGGATCCTTGTCCTGGAGCACAGCCTGCTTACTCTGGAGAATTCCAATGGAGAGCAATTGAGGCGTCGGGTGCAGCTTACAATGCTTCTGGATGGGCCACTTACTGGGACCAGAAAACTGAAACTCCCTTTTCGTACAATAATCTTTCTCGCCAGTTTGTCACATATGATAACCCTATTTCCCTTCGTCTCAAAGCACAATTTGCACAAGAAAAGAAGCTCGGTGGCATCATGCTCTGGTCTCTCGAGATGGACGATGCTAGTAACTCCCTCTTGGATGCTATTCAAGACGTTCGTACCTGACTTTAATCATAATAATAAAACCACACACACTGTATAAAGTGTTGCTAATATTCCAAACATACAATGCTTCAGAGCACACCTTGTGCAGCGAATGAATAATGCATCCACTATTCAGTCGAATACTACATACGAGGCACATTTCATCAATATTCACTTCCTACTCGTCCTATTCAGTTCTCAATCGTTCCATGTTTATTCAGAATCAAACTTGGGTATTGACAACAATTGACAATTTGGCCTGCCAGTGTCCAACTCTGAATATCAAATCACAGGAGGCAATCTGATCTCAACTATCATACACATGCCAAGCATATTCAAGATGTCTCCACTGAAAACCAAAATAGAGCGCTGGGAAATAGCATTCTTCATACTCGAACTGAACACTGCCTTCCTCAGATTCCATCTTCATCCAGTTATCTATACTTCCACTGCCATCCCAAATATCAGCTTCGAGTAGAAAAAACAAATCATTTATAATAGAAATCAAAAAATTGCGGGGTAAATTATACAGAGAAAGATGCCATGAATGTTGTGGATGTGGTTTCGACAGTTTGATATCCACTTGGTGCCTTGATGCCCAAAATTTCGTTCAAGCGTGTTTGATCTCCACTGCTGGATGCCATTCTCTTTGCACGTAAAAACTTGGCACGAGCACTGTGCGGTTAGAAAGGTGGGTTAGAGTGTGGTTTTGCTAGTAATCTGACAGAATGACTTACGCATTACGAAGCACAACGGGTGCTGGTGCCTCTTCCTTTTTGCTCTTTTTGCTCTTCTTTTTGTCCTTGCTCTTCTTTTCCTTTCTGCTTTTTTTACTCTTTTTGTTCTTCTTTTCACTGTCAACATCCTCTTCTCCCTCATCATCATCTCGGGATCGCTTTTTGCTCTTCTTTTCCTTCTTGTTCTTTTTGCTCTTCTTTTCTTTTTTGCTCTTCTTGGTCTTTTCTTCTGTTTCGTCTTGCTCTTCCTTGTCAGCTGTGTCTGCTGACTCTTCAGCATCAGATGCATTGACGCTGCTAGCTTCTGAAGCGGTTTGAGAGTTGAGGTCTGCTAATAATCTGGAGAATGCGTCTGTGTTTCCAAGCCAATTGTCAATGTTCTTCTTTGTAGCACCCACACCCAATGTATTGTCCTTGAGCTTGATCTTGACATGCTCCTTCTTGCCATCTTCCTTGACACCCAAGCCTTTTCCAGGAGCCCAACCCATCTTTTGCAGCATTCTGAAGCCGAATTTGGATTCATCTTTACTCCAGAACAAGTTGTTGGGATCTTGACTGATGCGCTGCTTTTCCTTCTGTCCTGCTAACCCCATATTTTTATGATCGATTTGTTTAAAAGAGAAAGAAGAAGGCCCAGATGCCAGTCGAAAAATTTATTTTGAGGAAAAAAAAATCAGGAAAAAGATTCCCAGTCACCGAGCAAACTTGCATTATCAGACCTGAAATGAAGGCATCTACACAACTGCAGCGTTCGTTTCATCCCGTTTTCCATGCAAAACTGATCTCATGCAAGCAAAGAGTAGAGCGACATCAACCCACATGACATCATTATGAAAAAGTAGCAGCACCATCGTAATACAGGTTCAACATTTTACTCGTTTATTGAAACTGCAGCACTGGATTTAATGCGAGCAATCAAACTTTCAACATCATCTTTGCAATTGACAACTTCTGATTCTAGCGATTGCTCTTCTTCAACTGGCAGTTGCTTCATCAAAGCCATCAGTTCTTGCTTAACTTGCTGGATAAACTCTTGGTTGTTTGCTTCGATCTCCTTGTGCACCTTTTCGAAATCTTGGATCAGCACCTCTCTTTCCTTGGCTTGTTTCTCCACCATCTGCTGTACTTCTTTAGCTACATCTTTTTCCTTGACATCCTGGACACTCTGTTGAACAGAGGCTAACTCTAGCTCCAAAGCTTGTATCTCTTTATCGAACTCAGCCTGTGATTGTGCTACAGATTGTTCAAATGTCTTTTGCTGCTGCAATTGCTTTTCCTTTTGTAATTGAATTGTGCGACATTCCTTCTCAATCGTGTGCTCTCTCCGTTTCAGGTCATCCAACTCCTTTCTAGCTGCCATGGCTTCGTCCTTGAGTTGTTTGACTTTATTTTCCGTGCTTACATATGTTTGTTTGGTAGAATCCAACAGCTGTTGCTTGGACTCTAATATTTGCATCACTTCTTGGATATCTGATCTAAGCTTCTTGTTGGATTCGATGTATTCCTCATTCTCTTTTTCAAATTGTTCCTTGTTCTCTTTAGCCGTTTGGAGCTAGCAAATGTACAGCATGTTAGCACAAACATGATCCCCTAACTACTTCAAAGCAAACCCCTTCATTTCAAGATGAGAGAAGCCCCCCACTGCCTTGAGCCCTTCTTCACCCCCCTTGGGTTCCTTTTAAAGTGTTATTGTAGTTGATGCAATGTATCTTACTTGTGCCTTTGTGTTTTCCAAATCTTTTTGAATGCTTTCTAAGTTTTCTTGCAGTTCTTGAAACACTCTGTTGGTTCTTGAGCTAGAGGAAGCTGGGCGGGGTGTCGACAGCATATGTACGTTGTTTCTAGGGCTGGTCGTCTGGAGCATGTAAGTGAAGAATTGCTTCGAAGCTTACAACAAGTAGGTTAAGCTAAAAAAAAAGAAAGAAAAAAAGAAAGTTCGTGTAAACGAAAGAGAGGAGGAAAAAAGATGGATTTCATGGCTGATGTTTATATCAGTGTTGCAAAATCATGAACGGGGCATTTTTATTGGTTGCTTTCAAATGGATCCAAAAGTTTAGGTATATGCCTTTTGCCATTATGCTTCTCCTGGCACTTTTTGTTGTGGTCCTTCAGCAACTACATTACTAGAATCGGTATACATTGCGATGTAGTATGTCCTTCTACAAAGAATTATTAGATTTGAAATAAGTTTTGTAACTAGAGTCTGTCAGATCATATTGAAATCCATGCATAGCAACATCAGTGAAATGCCGAGCCTTGCACTTCTCTTCAAGTGGCATGATTGCTATTGCAGTTTACCATGTACTGAATGGACAGTCTGATCATACCTGTATAGAACAAGAAAATCGTGTGTGGTAATTGAAAAGTTTGATTTTGAAGGTAAAGTAATAAGTTTATTTTTAAGATCGCTCAAAGAGCGATACATGTATGTACAAATTAAGAGTATATATATAAAAAAATATGTCGATCAACGAACATGATAGCTAGTATAACAATAAATTTAAACAGCACAATCGGTCATGGCAATGATGACACCGGTGGAGACTGCAGGATGAACCCAAGAGTTGACATTGATGTAAGTGGTGTATACCAACATACCAACGCCAAAGAGAATCAAAAGGATATCAACAATCTTGAGATAACGATTGGATGTAATCTTGTAGTGGAAAAGACCAGGAAAAATGAAACAGAGGGGCATACAAGCAACAGAGCCAACGAGGGCGACAAACTTGCTCAAGTTTTGAGCACCAACACCGAAACTGACAGCAGCACAGACAATAGGAATCAAGGAGCGAACCATGTTCTTGCTGTACTTGATCTTGAGGGAGTTCTTGCCAGAGCGAGTACCAAAGACGTACTTTTCAATGATTTGCAAGGGAGGGAAAAGCATGAAGGGAGAGGTCAAGATCATGGCAATGGCATAAAGGACTTGGACAGTGATGGACAAGGGGATTCTAGGAATGTTGGCAACGACACTGGCTTGAGTGATATCACCGTAAGCAACGTAACCAATGGCACCAATCAAGGTGAAGATAATAAGGCAAATGATCAAGCCAACGGTCATGACAGCGGGGAATCTCTTGGGCTCTCTCATACCTTGGACAATAGGCAAGACCATGCCAACACCCTCAAAAGAAAAGACAGCGGTACCAATCATCAGACCAAAGTCGTTTTGATTGACGAGATGGATATTGTTACCAACACCGTGAGTGGCAATTTGGCTGGAACAAAAGTAGAGAATACAGATTAAACCAAAGGCGATAAAGGTATCAGCGACGATAGCGAGGTAAGACAGCTTTGCGATTCTTCTAACCCAACAGAAAGGAATGATAGCGATAAGAATGATCCAGATGTAGTATTTGGCCTCAAAGGGAGCGTTACAGTGATTGACAGTATCAACAACGATGCCGATATTTTCAGAGATGAAGATCATATAAGAGGCAACGAAACCCATTTGAGAAACACACAAGAAGAACTGGATCAAATGTCTCAAGTAAGGACCATATAAACTCTGAGCCACATCACCATAATCACCACCAATCTTCATCTGAGCCTTTACCAGCAATTGGAATGCAACCAGACAAAGGAAAGCAATGACTACCATGAGAATGATGGATAACAGCAAGCCACCGCTTACAAAACTGCCAGGCAAAAAGATGACACCTGTACCGATAAAAGCCTTCAGCAACATGAACAAGGCTTTGCCGAAAGAAGCGGTTCCTCGAGGCACATCTTCCACTTGGACCTCAGAGATGGAATGATCTTCTTGGTATTTTTCATTCACAATGGAAGCAGGACGAGAGTCAGGTTTCTTTTCGTAGTCAGTATTCATTTGGCTTTGTAGAGGAATAATGAAATTTTAAGTGATTTACCATGCCCTATTTATACTTGAGATATGTAAAAAGTGGGGTACATGCTTTACCAATAGAATGATTTGACATTCCATCAATGTCCCTTTCTTTGTGTTACTACTTCGTGAGAAAAATGTCTCTTGGAACCAATAACTACAAGGAGATCGAAGGGTGGAACAAGAACTTTATCGACTTTTCGTCATTTGTAATAATACGAGGCATTTATTTATTTTTTCATTTTATTTGAGCAGTGTTTTGGATTAAAAAAAAAATAGCAAGCTTGGACGGCAGTTACACTCGTTTGTATTTGAGTTTGTTATCAATGAATATAGTTGCTACGCCGCCGTATCAGAATAAGGTCCCAGATTTACCAACGAGTAGATCAAATTCAAAATTACCATTTACAGACGGCTCTCTTTTCGTTTGATATGATTGTCCATTCTGGGGATTCATTCGAGTTCGAGATGCAACATTGTAACCAGAACATCAAATGTCAAATAGCTGTACACATCACAAGACCTCAACGTTGACTTCAACGTGTAGCTGGTGACAGTACGTGCATCGTGTTTGATAAAGTATATTAATATCTAGCAATATATACATTGGACGGGCTTCAATTGAAATTGATAATGTGTAACCAGAACATTTCATATATAACATGTACCCATTTGATTTGCCATGTAAAAATTGCTATCCGCGGCGAGCTTTCTAAAAGGTTCATTTCTCTATATGAAACCCACAAATTTCATTCATTTCCCCACACTCAACAATATGCTTCTTTGTCTTTGATTGACTGCGGGATATATGCAGCAAAACGACAGCATTTTACAGTAAAATTCATCTCTACGCTTCCTAAAAACATGACTAATGCATTTCCTTACAGGGCATACAGCCAGGCACTTTTTTTTTTTTTTTTTTCTTCCAGTTCTGGGATTGAAGATGGCTGTCTTCTTGCCTTTCTTTTGATACGAAATGACAGGTGGATACAATTAATTACATGCCGTCATGATACTACTTCATACCACCATTACCTTATAAATCCTGCTCAAGTGGTACATGAGAGCTCCCCTTCTTGCACTTCTAAAAATACTAAGATAAAGTTCATATCGCAAAGCTTAATTCGAGACATTAAAAGAGGGGCATCTGAATCATTTTTCATGGGGTAACGAATACATCCAATCAGTTACTCAAGACAGCCAGGTCTAACTCTACATGGCTTGCTGCTTCCATGTCTTTCACGAGGACGTCTGTTGCTCTTCTAATTCAGCCACAGAGGTATTGCCTCATATGTGATAATTTACTTGTATATGGGCATCTGACAGTTGACTCTTTACATATGGAGCATTTAAATTGAATGCAAGTACAGACACATTACGACTACACAAGAGGCTGCTGCGTTTATTTTTGAATAGCGTAGGTTTTCAATCCAGGTTTACGTCTACATTTGTCAACCACAAGGAAATTCGGAGAAATGTGGATGCTACATACGATGTCAAGTTCCATTCAAGTTACATGGAAAATTGTGTTGTTTCACACATCGTATCGATAGTTTTTCTAGCCTTTCTAACATTTTGCCGAAATGGCGCTGTTTGACGTTATCTCTAACGCCTGATTACACAATACCTGCTCATATATATGCATCATCCTTACTGATTGCATTGATACGCAATAAACCATACATAAATCTCCGTTTAGCGCTATATTGAATCAAATACATATAAATCAGATAATTCCTTTCACTCTGACAGTGGGTTCGAGATCATGGTTAGCGCAAACACGCTCTCAACACGGACAAAATCCCAAATTGTAGCCATAAAACTGAGCACCAAGGCAGTTTGGCTGCTGTTTTGTCATGCACAAGAGCACTTGCGCAGTGGGTAATTGTGGATTTGGCTTTTTTAAGATGCTCCGCATATGTAGCAGCAGGATGAATCCAAACATGGACGAACAGCATATTGACATTGCCTCTTATTACTCACAGAGATGCCAAAACACAGCCAGATTTGAGGGCATTTAAGTGGTGATTTCTCGTGTAAGAAGACGTTTTAGACGGCCAGAATAGCGCCAAACAAATGCTCTCGATTAGTACGTGCTTTCTGACACCTTTGCTCAACTTTTTTGGGATTGTCAAAAATCGACCAAAAACCATGAATGATACCTCATGGATTTTGTCGAAAATCAAACGATCGCGTTTTTGATTTCCAAAATAAAGACTTTTACTATGATATATATTAAATCAAAACATTTGTCTCGATCCAGAGCAACCCCTGAAATCTCGTTTGTGAGGTTTTCATATATAAAATCTCGACATTTTCGCCAAAAACCTCATTTCATACTTTCTAATATTGCTCAAAAAGTCTATTCAAAACACCTATTATAATTGGCACCATTGAATGCGCCTTGAAAAGTACTCGTAGAAAGCTTAAAGGAGTATTTTTTTTTTTGTAGGGGAGTCGAGCTCCAGGTTTTATTTAAAGTCCTTTAAATGTCATGCTGAGGGATAGAAAAGACTGTTGGTGGACCCAATGTCTGCAAAGAAGGGGAATAAGATATTTTTTGAACTAAGTTGGGAAAGAAATCTACTACTAATAAGGTGCGACTCCTAGAGCCAGTACAGTCTTGCGGAAATCGTCAAAATATAGATCATGGATAAGAGCACAAAACACCAAACGAGGACATCAGTACTACGTCAAAAAAATCAAACAACTTGCGTTCACCAGGATTTGAACCGGGGATCCTCCCGTTGGCATACGGGAGTTCTACCACTTCGCCCTACCACCAGGGACTAGCTTAAAGGAGTATGGGGTGATCAGCACAATTTTATAGTCGAATCTTGCAAAAGAGATCAAACAAGTCGCAAATTGATCAAAATGTTCCCATTTGGAGAAATAAAAGAACGACCGGAGATTGAATTGATTCTGGCTGGCAAACATCATGATGCCATCCTCATTAGGAAGATAATCAAAGCTGTTAAAAGCCCATGAGAGTGACAGTCTGAATTAAGATATACCACAGCGTAGTCTTGCCATTTTTATGGGTTTCTTTGACATGTATCCGTTGCAAACTGCAAATCCAAATGCCATGGCTGATTCTATTGATTGTATCATGAAAGCCTATGCCAACACTAAAGTTTATTCTGACATAAAAGAGGTATATGGAACACATCATTAAACTAATCTAATCCAGCATGTAAATTCTTGATGCGACATCATTAACAACCCAATCCATGCCTTTTAGTAGATTGTCTCCTGTCACTGCACTACAGGGCAAAATAGCCCAATGATGGCTTTTAATGTCATCTAACCCAAGTGCATTTTTGATCTCGAGTTCAGTCAAGGCACCAGCGATATCCTGCTTATTGGCAAAGACTAGCAATGTCGCACCTGCCAATCTCTCCTCTTGTAATAATTGTGCTAATTCTCGTTTACAATCCATCAATCTTAGACGATCTGCTGAATCCACAACCCAGACTAATGCATCCGTTTGCTCGAAATAGTTTCGCCAGTAGGATCGAATCGACTTTTGTCCACCCACATCCCAGATATTGAGTTTGTAGCTTGTATCGATGTCTGTTAGCCTATTTGTCTGTTGGTGCATTTGATACAGAACTTACTTTTCGTGCTCTAATGTTTTGATGTTGAAGCCAAGTGTAGGAGAGATGGTGTCAATAGGCTCGCCGTTGATTCTTTTTAAAATAGTCGTTTTGCCTGCATTATCCAAGCCTCTAGAATTTGCTGTTGGTGTCTGCAGTGTAATATACATGCACTGGATGCTTACTACAAACTTACAGCATGAGGATACGCATCTCCTTTTCATTTTGTCGATTCTTCTTCAATATGGTAAGTAAGCCCATGATAAAATTGTTCTATGGAAAGAAAATTGGTGCTTGATGTTGAGCAAAAGAAAAAAAAAATTGGTTAATAACCTTTCAACGGAGTTGATTCTACTGTTGTCGCTATTGATGCACTGTGATGCCACGATGCTTTACCCTATGATGTGGTTCAAAAGATGGGTGATAACGTGCTTGGATTTATACCAACAGAAAAGAGCTTTATAGTCTTTTGAAAAGGCCAACATCTCTATGTTTTGTTTGAGTAATATAGCATTTTCTTAATGGCTTCAGGAAAACCCCATCGAATAAGGTTGCATTTCCCAGATGATAAATGTGTCCAGTAGCAGATATTTCGAGCATTGCGCTCTTTCTACACTTGTCGCAAGTCTTTAGCTGTAAGCACGTTCCAAAATCTACATGTAATAGCTACGCTTGCAAACAATCAGATTACTGCCTGGTTCAATGTAACGTATGGATTTCATGCAATCACTCGTGATTTAATTCATGTCTGTAGGCTCTTGTAGCACTACTTGTCTCTTATACGCATGACGCCTGTCAACCCACAGTATTATAACTACATCCCAGAGTTTTCACTGCTCTGTACTACAAGTCCATTATCGTTGAAAGCAGCTAAGGGTTGGAGGTGGTAGCTTCACCGGGGCTTTAATGACCAGTACTGTAGTACTTGGTTTCTCGTTTTTGATGTCGTCAATGTTGATGTTCAAGAAACATTTTCATGAAAAAAAAAAATCCCGCTTCATTTCTCACTCTTTCTTTCCATTACAAACACTAAACAAAAAGCATGTCAAACAAGCCATCTGAAGGCCCTTCATCTTCCAGCAAGAAGGTGTCGCAATCTAGCAGCAAGAAGCCTTCGGCGATTTCCAAGCAAGTGCTCAAGACAAACCCTATTCCACAATCAGTGCAAGCAGCCAACAGCAGCAGTTCCAACTTGACCAAAAATCTCAATGCACTCAGTGATAAATCTAAAGCAAAACCTACTCAACCGTTAAGAAGTACCAAGGTATCCCAGAAACTGGTCTTGTTTCCGCAATCCACAGCTGATGAACCAGAAACGAGCATGCAATCCACCTTACCCGTGGACGCCAACCTCGATCGTAAAACTGCACAACAGCAACAACAAGAGGCTGAGGCCGCTGAGCTTCGTCGTAGGTCAACCACTTCATTTGACGAGCATCAACAGCAGCAATGGCAAGATGAACAAAGTCAGCCTCGCACGGCAGGTGTTCCACTGCCCATAGAGTGGACATTTGGTTCACGTACACAGGCAGAACGCATGACAAAAGATGAGCGTGAATTAGCCTTGCTACCCCGAGCAGCAGCTTATTGCACTGGTGAAGGATACGATCTCGCTCGACTTCGACCCTTCTTGCGTCAACACCACCGTGTATCGCCTCGATTATACGATGAATGCTTATACGCTGCTTATCATTTCCCGCTGAGAACATTGCGTCCAGATAAAGACAACTTATACAACATTCGAGTGAGAAGCAATGTGCCTCAAGCACTAGGCAACCACCGTCATAATACAAACGACGAAGAAGAGATGGACTACGATGAGGATCATTTACAGCAAAGTGATGTTCCCGTCGTTACTCAACCTCGACCTGGCCAGCCGTATCCCGACGATTACTATCCAAACCGCAAGGATTTCTATGAAGAGGAGGAAGAAGCTAGACAGCAGCAAGAGCAGCAACAGAGGCTACATGAAGAGTTCCAAAAGCAGCAGAACGATTCACCCACTACGCCTCAGGAAGAAGTAGAAGAGGGCGAGGAGGTAAAGGGCATCTTTGATAACCCGTTTGTAGAGGAAGGAGATGATCTCGACAAACCAAATGAAACTATACCCGAGCAAGAGCAGCAACACAAAGAAGAAGAGCAGCAACAACACCAACCTCCTCGCGAGATATTCAAAGGTGGAGAAGTGTTTATATTTGACTATGGTGTGGTAGTATTCTGGAACTTCCGTCGTGCCGAAGAATTGTTGATGCTGGAGGATTTCATGCAATTCTCTATTGATCCTTTCCGCGACAACCCAGACGAAGACATGCAGATTGAAGAAATCCACTTTCAGTACGACACATCGCAAATGAAGCCTCGTATCTTTAACGACATGATTACATTGAAGAGCAGTAATCATATGATCAAACTGACATTATCGCATGGTTTATCGCAAAGTGCTGTTGTAGCTCGTTACGAGGATATTATGGATAAGACAATTGAAGACACAAAGCATTTGCCTAAAGAGATGGCTGAAACGGGTCGTTTAGGTAAAACGCGTGCAGAGATCACTAAAATCAATGGCCAGCTGTTTACACTGAGAATGAACGTGAATCTTGTGTCAAATGTGTTGGATACACCCGAGATCTTTTGGTCTGAGCCTGCGTTGCAGCCAATGTACACAGCAATCAGAGAGTATTTGGAGATTCCTCAGCGTGCTCAAATCTTGAACGACCGTTTGCGAGTCATTTCTGATTTGTTGTCCATGTTGAGAGATCACTTAACTAATTTTGGTGTGGAATATCAGACGCTAATCATCATCTACTTGATTATTGTCGCTGTCATTGTAGCTTGTGTAAGTAAAGAGGGCCCCGATCTGATGTGTACAGAAATACTCAATGTTTTGTTTATTTCGTTAGTTTGAAATTGGCGTCAAGATTTTGCAATCCATCGATGTTCTCTAAAATGTGTGTGTGTGTGTACATATATAAGCATGATTTCGAAATAAACAACTCGTAATTCATTGAAAATCGAACAGGCTTTTTTTTATTATTCAGAAGTAAATGTAAATAGTGATGTAAATGAGAATATATGAACAAGGAAAGAGAATTCTAGATTGGAATATTTTGAACAGGGACAATACCTGATAGTAAGGATTTGCCCAGTATCATGGGAGCAGCGACGAGGCCAATAAATAATAAAAACATGCTATAGAACATAATACCATAGCAGATTGCAACTCGCTTTCTCTCTCTGCGTTGCTTCGCTGTCCAGATGTGTGCCCTGATTTGCTTGGAAGGTCGAAGCCAGAACAGCATCAAAGAATGAGCGGTATTGATATAAGGAATAATGATAAACAGGGAAAGGAAGAAGAGGATGATGTGGCCTAGCAAGAAATCCGTGGAGAATTCAGTCATTTCAATGATTTTACAAATGAACTCACGACCAGGCTGTGTGATGACTACAAGAGAAAGACAGAGATGAGTACATATATAATCAATAGGCATGTCAAATACATCAACTTACCATGCCATCCAAGCTGTGAAAGAATAAGAAAAAGACGCTATTTAGTACTCACATCAGGCTCCAAACAGTGCGCATTCAACTTACCCCACGGCCATACCACTTGCCAGTCCACCAGCCTCTGTTGGTTTCATCTTGCTTGAATTCTCTTGTCAAGCAGCAGACAGTCAGCAACTTGAGGACGAAACGTTGAATTGCCACCATAGCGACCACACCGAGGACCACATTTGTCAGCTTCCAATCTTCCAGTAAAAAGAAGACTTCAAAGATGATAATGACACAAATGACAGACCAAGCATGGGCCAATGCAGCCATGAGAGAGCCAAATTTTACCAGCCAGATACTGAGGATAGATCCAATGCCCACCGACATGCCAAAGAAGACCATTAAACCGACAATGTTGAGTAGAATAGGAGCAAGTGCCATGACACCAATGCGGATCAAAGGACTGGGTCCAGTAGCAGGGAGTGTGGCATCAGTAGAATCAAAGCTCTTGACAAATGTATAAGGGATGATACATAGCAGCGCATAAAAGAATGGCAAGATAACCTCGCTGACAAAGATGGCACCAAGACCAGCACGGGGCATGTCAACAATCTTACTGGTAGCCTCTGTTGGCTTGCTACGCTTGTAGCCTGTGATACGTGCTCTTGAGGCACGCGTATGGCTGATCCATGAATTGGCATGCGTTTTGGAGTTGCCACGAGAGAGCCAACGTATGAATTCCTTGTAATCTACCAAAAAGTCGATAGGGGAGAACTGATTAGGGTTAAACACAAATGGAGACACAATCAGAGCGACCACAGTAAACCAAAAGTAAATCAGATGCGGGATCCAGTAAGCAATGGAAGCAAACAGCATGATGACCAGATTTCTAGCGCCAATGTAGATACTAGGGCCCGTGAATCGAGAGTACAAAGTAGAGAATGGAATGCGAGAAGTAGCAAAACCACGACCTGTACCGATATACTGAGCACCACCGTAGACGAGATTCTCCAGCACAGAGTTGGTGTAGATTTGAGTGACAAAGATCTCAAACAGAGGCGAAAGTGACATAAAGTGTCTACCCATACGAGTTAAACTTCTCCAGAAACCTCTTTCAGTCAATTCTTGAAGAAACAGTGGTAAGAAAGCAGCAAAGAACACTACAAAGATGGACAGAATACAACGCTTGACCCAGTCAAAGATGGGCACCAGATTATAGCAGCCTGCTGGTATCAATGGAGCCTCAGGTGGCGCATCTGCATTGTATTCACAAATGGTCAACGTAGCACCCATAGCACTGATGAACAAGATGGCCAACATGAACATTTGCACAGACATCATGATAAAGATATTGTTAATGTGGAAACCAGGATGAGCATAGTAAAAAGTCAAGAAGCGATCCAAAGGAAGTTGCGTACCAATGTAGTAGTATTCTCTCGACAGCATTTGCTCACCCATACCCGTACCAATCTTGGTGGTAAAGTTCAAAATGGACCCAAAACCTAAATCACGGCCTTTACCGCACTGAAAGTACTCTGTGTGCTTGATACGGCCACCTCGCGTGAATGCGTTCATACCAGCATAGATGTCTTCGTTCAAATGCAGACCCTTTTGCGCTTTGGAGACACCACCACGCGTGTTCATAAAGATGGCGTTCAGAAAATCAGGATGGCCATAATGCAGTTTACCACCAATCTTGGCCATAATACGTTGCGTCAAAGTACCAAAGGTCTGTTCCTTACCAGCAGCTACATCACCGAGGACACCCACATTCTCTGAGAAAATGTACTCACGAGCACCCACAATGGCAACAGGGGAACGATTGGATTTTGGATATGCAGCAGAGTAAGGCGATATTTGCGAGGGTTCCAGTGTCTCGAATTCACCCAGTACGTTACGGATCTTGAGGCACTCTTCCAGGTAGTTGTCTTGGTTGGCATCAACCAACTGAAGGAATTCACCGCGGTAAAAGATGATGGCGTGGTTTTGGTTATCAGATTTACCATCACCCAAGATGGGATTACCAGGCAAACGCACTCTGAAGCGAGGCTTTCGCTTACCGTTCTCTGTCAGCTCGCAGGTACCGTCAATCAAGGCAGAAAAGTAGGTAATATCACCAGATTCAGACACCTCTTCATCCACGTAGGCTACTTGCAGATCAGGAAATGCCTTGAACAAGAATTCAGCATCTTCAGCTTCACTGGCATTGAACTTGGCATATCGCTGCATGGCTACCAAAAACTTGAACTTGCGTCGAGACAGTTTATCCAAATCATGGTCCAGACCCTCCTTATCACCACCGTACATTTGCACCGTCTCGGGATTTTCAACTCGATACAGCAACTTGATGGCCTTGCGATAGTTCATGAAACCAGACACAGTACGATACAGTGTTTGTGCTCTTAGGGAGGCCCAAATACGAGTACGCAATGTATACTCGGGTTTGGACGACTTGAAACCAATGCAGTAAAATGGCAGATCGTCGATATTACTCTTGGCTAGGTCCTTTTCCAGTGTAGCAGCAACCGACAGCTCAGAATCGCTCCTGGCGCTTGGATCCAGGCTACGTTTATCGTCATCATCCACAAGTATCTTGGTGTCTTTTACGAAATTCTCCCATTCAACAGCGTGCAGTTGCTTCAAGTATTCCAGCAGCGTCACTCGCGTGCTTGTATCTTCCTCTCTAATAATTTCACGAAGACTAAGCAAGATTTTTTCTCCGTAATGAGGCTAGCTTGTGATTTAGTTTTACATGGACAATGTCATACAAGAGGAGACTTACGGTAAGCACGGTGAATGTGGGCATACATTCAACTGGATGTGGTGGCGGCATGGGTGTTGTCAGACTCTGAGCAAAGAAATGAATGCGACGCTCTGCTTCACCGCTTTGAGGAAAGTACTCTGTCTTGAATGAAGTGTCCTCTTGAGAGACGAAAAAGGTGGGTGCCTTGAGCGTACGGTTGCCATCCATCGGGTTGACTTCCTATAGTATAACTTTTAGTGTACATGTCAGTAGTATGTTGTACAAAATTTACCTGTTGATACAGCATGCGCTGTGCGTGATCCGCCGTAATCAAATGCTCGCGGTACATGGTAATCACAATAGCGTTCCAGATTTGAGAGCAAAGCACCTTGGGCTTGTACTTGACTTGGATATCAGGTGTGGCCAGCAACTTGACAAAGATACGCTTGGGCAGGTTGGAAAAGATATTTCTCCATGGCGACCAGATCGAAATACCTAAATAGAAGGATCTAGACACAGAGAATATAGTATTCCAGATAATGTACCATAAGTATGTATCCAGGAAGTAGAGCACCATATCCATCAAGAACATGATAAAGATGGTAATGCGAGGCATCTGTTCGCAGAGCATGGTGCCAATAAGCGCATCGTTGCAGTTGGTAATCGTCATCGTACTGATTACCTTGAGCGGATCCTTGAACGAAAGAGCCAAGAAAAAGTAGGATTCCAGCAGTTTACAGGCAAAGACACAGACCCAGAGACAGATGGACATGATGCGGTCGATGCGCTTGAGGGAGGGGAAGTTGGCAGTAAAGTGCTCATTGGCCAGTTCTTGGCGCGTATGTTGAGACGCACGCATAAAGAGACGAGAAGATGGTACAATAGACAGGAATAGTGTTGTAGCCACGCTGACGAGCAGCTGGATGATGGACACTAGCTTTGCAATGGAACTGGTTCTATCCATAACGACACAGTAGTAAGAAGGGCCCGCATTGATCAACATGAGCAGAATCAAAAAACAGATTCTACGCAGCACGTATTTCGAGTTGTGCCAGCTTGTAGGCAGATACGCAAGCTCGGCGCAAGACCCAGTGAGGACCAGAAGACAGGCGACCACACCACCCAGTGCGACAATCGAGATTTGCACCGCCACCTCCTCTTTAGCCACTTCTTTGTCCACATTCAGATACAGGGAATAGGCATTCGCCATGATATAGTACCAGAAGGTGACAATATGGATTACCCATACCCGAGAAAAGTTGATGGAAGCGTGCATCCAGGTTCGCTTTTCGAGATATGTCTTTTTGAACGTCTTTTCCCAGTCTACATTTTTCAGAGCATTGTAGCGCTCATGCGGCAGTAATTTACCGAGTGTTTGCTCCTTCCCCGCCGCAACCAAAATCTTGTCGTAAAAGGTCGAGTGCCAAAAGAACTGATTCACATCATCGTAGCCCACCACTTGGTTGTGATCCCTTTCTCGTTTGGCGTATTTACCGTTGCTCAGCACATAGATTTGATCGCGAAAATAGTTGTACAGAGGCGACACCACGTTGTCTAGATAAGCACCTTCCTCAGCATCCGGTGCAGTGTCAGCTGTGGATTCATGACAGTAGAAATCAGATGCCATTTTGTAGATGAAACAGAGCGCCTCGGGTGTAAATCTGACAGGCGCAGCTTCTCCCCACAGACAAAGGTACAAGGCGAGATCACGGGCCTTTTCAGCGTTTGACAAGTTGCGCATGCGTAATGACCATTTCTCTTGCATACGAAGCAGCTGTTCATGCTCATCACCAACATCGCTAGCCACCTGCTTTTCTTGCTCGGTTTGGTCATACGTGTCCATCTGGGAGGCAAAGTACCATTTGCGATAATTTGCATTTTCACCGCCAATGTAGTCAGCATGCAACGAATCAAGCGCCAACTGAGGCGATAGACGTGATGCTCTCGAATCCAGCATGACCTTCAAGTGTTCACTCATGTTTCGCATGCTGTCGTGTTGAAACCCGAATTTGCGTGCTATGGCCAGAAAGATGTCGTCGAGTTGTCTAAAGGTGAATGGAATAGCATCTTCGGGGCCCCAGGCAGGGTACGGTGAGTCCTCGGTAGCATAGCCTGTCAGCATGTTGACGTTGGTTGGAGGTTTGATGGTGCCATGTGAGCTCTGGATGGATGCCTGCGATTCATTGGAGAGCCCCTTGTTGCCCTTGTATTTGCGACTCTCGAGCAATGCCAGCATGGAATCAGCTGATGATGCATAGCGCATGTATCTGCCGTCGTCTCCATCAGTAAGAGCAGCTAAGACGTCCACATCAACTGTGTTGTTGTTGTGAGGCACTGTAGAGGAACTGTCTATTGATACAGGTGTGGATGAAGGTGCTGGTGCTGATACATATTGTGGAGGAAACTCGCTCTTCTTTTTGTGGGGCTGTCTCTGCTGTTCTTTCAATTGTCGTATTTGACCTAAATTTTGCAGGCTTTAATTAAACTCAAATACACAAACATTCCAATGCAATATTTACCTTCTGAAGCGGATATGGGTGGTAAAATAGGTGAGGAGATATTGGAATGATTCGAACCCGAGGATGAGGCAGGCGAAGAAGCGTCGCTCAACTTGGATTTCATGATGGTGGGTGACAGAGAGTCGTTGCTCTCGGTTATGGTAGGGCCTATGGCGAGATTGGGTGGCTGTCCTGCAATGCTGCAACGAAAAGAAAGGTTTAGTATGTCAGCATGTTAGGGAATATATAGCTTACTTTGCGTAATAAGCACGAATTTCTGGGAAATCCTGGTGATTGCTGGTGCTTTTAGATAAAGGATGGCTTTTTGGTTCATTATTGTGTTTAGGGGTATGTTGAATATCGGGTAGTGAAGCTTTACTCGAGGAAATATCTACAGATGAGATGGATGCACTGAGTCCAAGTGCAGGTGCTGAATCCGAAGGTCTCTCTTTATTCACCACCGCGTTCAAAGAAGGCTTTTCTTTTTTAGCAAAAGATGAATCCTCCTCCATTAGGCTGTTTTGTTAAGAATAAAGAAAGAGAGAGAAAAGAAGAGAGAAGGAAGATGTGAATATTCCCTCTTTACAATGCCAATAGTTTGTATAAAACAAATAGACAGAAAGCAACAGGTAGGGAAAATGTACAGTTGCATTTAAAACGATCTGACAAATGACGATAAATTAGATTTGAGTAAGGTATGTTGTGTAAATCGTGTTTGCTTGAATGTTTATGCACTGAAAGGCTTTTTTTAATATAGACGTATAATGATTGTCCACACAATGTGAAATACATATTGAAAATTGAGTTGGGCCCTAAACTTACAATGGGAAATGGTGTAGCACGATAAGCAAGGCAAGCACGTCTTGTATGTTTTTTCCATGTCAATTAATAGCCGAGGATTCTTGCTATCAATTTTCTGGACAATCGCTTCTCTCTCTGTGTGTGTGTGTGTGTGTGTGTGTGTGTGTGTGTGTGTGTTTATGGCGGAAATTATGGTAATTTTCGTATAATAAGTTATCGATCAAACAAATCTTCGACGCTCTTCGTATATGTGGAATCTGGCATTGGCGTGTATTTTTAATGATGAAAATGCGCGCTTTTTGATCCGCATTGACAACACCAAGCAAATTTCAAAAGCAGATGTTTAGCTACATAGATTGATCGATGAAATTACACATGATGTCAAGAGCATAGAGAGTTGCGACATATCCCTCTTTAAGCTAGGAGGGGCTTTATGTGTTACATATTGGTAACGAAGCCTTTGATACATTAGATCTATCACTGACAATGGCATTTATAGAAAGAAGGTGACACTCATTGCTGATGCACAAACCACTGGATTAAAAATAATGTTCTAACGATGCCCTGTATCATGATCTATCAATAAAATGCATCAATTCCATCTCTTGATACCAGTAATGTCTCTCGCTCTTCATCTAGAAGCCAGAATTGCAACAGCATCTGGCGATATTCAAGTCTTGATATCTCCATTTCTAGGCGCATCTAGACATCCAGAGTAAAGCCGAGTAGTTGCCCTCGATATCTAGTAACTTCTTATCACTTTATTACAATTTTTTTTTGTCAGTGAAAAATCGATGATTTTTACCATTTTTTCATGAGGTCTAGTAAGGCCGAATTCTAAAAAATCAATCAATTGGATTTTTGGAGCGAAAAAATGAAGTTTTTCATTATGGTATACGAGCCTTTCAGCACTTCGGGTGGTTTCCTGACCTACGCTTGGCTTCGGTGGAAACCAACCTACGTTCAAACGGCTCGCGCTGCCGCGGGCCTTTGGCTAATATCCCAAAATTAATATAGCTAAAATGTTAGAAGAAGAACCCTGATTGTTGATTGATATATAATCACTAATCATATGAGTGTTTATGCTTCGGATGATTCCCACCGAAGCGAAGCGAAGGTAGAGAACCAACCTGCGCAGCGGCAGCTCGTGCTACTGATTGCTCTTGCGTATTTTATCAAAATACTGCTACTTTCATTTGGACCCTCCACTTACACATAGTAACCCTTCATATTATCTGTGGATCTGATTCTTATGTGATGTTCTACATCCATATACACGTAGCTACTTCATATACGGGCAAGCAGCATACTGGTATTCCCACTTTTTAATCCTTAGTGTCCCTAATACAGCAAAATATGAGTGCATTTGAGCTGCATTTTCTTGCGTTCAAGGCCGTTTTAGATCGTCAGAACAGTCCCAAATGGTTGCTCTCATCTGGCAGTTACTTTCTGACACTTTTGCTCGACTTTTTGGGGACCAAAAAAACATGGTCAAAAATCGACCAAAAAGCATGAGGTACCCCTCATGGTTTTCATCGAAAATCAAACGATCTCATTTTTCACCCTGATAAGGAAGACTTTTACTATGGTATATCTTGAATCAAAATGTTTCTACCGATCCAAAGCAACCTCTGAAATCATCTTTGTGGGACTTTGATATGTAAAATTTCGACATTTTGGCCATAAACCTCTTTTCATATTTTTACAAATCATTCAATAAGTGTATTCAAAACATCTATATAACTTGGTACCATTGGAAGCGCCTTGAAAAGTACTCCAGGAAAGCTTAAGGAAGCATGGGGTGATTATCATACTTCACTTAGTCGAATCTGCAAAAATAGCTCGATCGAGTCCAGAATCATCAAAATTTGTCCAATCTAGAACAGACTATGATTCTGGGTTTGAATTAATTTTGGCTAGTGGGGCCAGCTGGAAAACTCATGCCCTTTTCATACTGCAATACAGCAGTAAATGCCCTTGAAGCGTATAGAAAGTAGGTGGCAGGTTATAGCACTATCGTTTATGATGCTATTTTATTGCCTTCTATATCGTTCATAATGATATTTTATTGCATTCTATATTTAATAACGTTAGTCTGGACATTGACGATGCATGGTTGCATAAAATGTCTGCAGTAAGTAGTGAAATCTTTGAGGCTCCGAGCCGTCGTTCAAAGAAAACATTGACAGCATTGAGCAGAGGAAAGAGGGTAGAACTAACAGTGGTTTTTGTTGATTGATTGTGAAATCATTATTCTCATATGAGCCAGGCCAGACAGATGCCTTGAAACTCAGGTTCCATATTAGGATTGTAAAGTATCTAAGGACTGAACATTTATTATTGTTGAGAGGGTGCGGTAACGGGATGTAAATTACCTGTGCTTTTAGTAAAGATTACGCTTATTCAACTATAAAGAATTTGGACACGTCAAGTAGCTATTACGATCAATACTACTTCTCTAGTGTACAAAGTAAAGACTACACAGAAGAACAAAACTAAAAAGGGGATTTTCTTAACTGTGTTTATTGATATGGCATACGAGTGATATTTATATATAACGGCTTTGTTTACTTGCTTGCTTACTGATTTTGCTAACCTCCCAGATGTAGTCTCGATGCGGACATCACCGCTCACAACATTATGTTATGATACTATTGAGAAATAATTGTATGAATGTATTGCTTCATGTGAAACTTCTTTTTTGGCAATTTACTAATCGAAATTTTGAGTTTTCGACTAAAGAAGCATATTCTGATTTTTCAGCGTAGCAAAATATTTTGTTACAAAAAGTACTCTAATATTACCACCATTCGATGCAGAGACCAATGCTTAATTTAAAACCTGTAATAAGCTACCTAAGTTAGATATACCAGTTTCCGAGTAATCCTCATTTCAAAGGATTTTTTTTTTTTTTCTAAAAACCATTCAATTCAGAAATCAACAATGGCCGCTAGACGACAGAGATTCAATCTCCGATATAAGAGGAATGGATGAGGATTATACCCTGGTTTGCCAATCGACCCCTATAATCTCAACAAGCCACTAGTGTTATAACTCAAATTCCAGCATGAGAGCATTAATTCTTCTTTTTTCTATATTTTTCCTCGATAGTTTTCAAAATTATGTTTCGTAGAACAGCATTAAGATTTCAAAAGACTGCATCAGCAGCATTGAAGAGAAATTACACTAGTGAAGCACCTAGTTCCTCTGCTCACAAGCTGGCCGAAGAAGCTTTAGCCCAAAAGACAGGCGCTGCTACCAAGAGCAGAGCTACACTTCCCAAGGGTGACAAGAAGCCTACCAAAGCCAAGGGAGAAAAGGACAACAACTACAAGGAGATTGCTTTAACGGCTGGTGCAATCACCGGTCTTGGTCTCGGTGGTTTGTTCTACTACGGTATGTGTATTGGAAATGTGTTGATACTTGTAACATGTCAAACTGAACTATGCTCTTTCCCTCTCGTTCATCTTAGGTCGTCCCTTTGAGGATGGTAGACCCGACAAGGTATGTTGCAGTCCATAGCTATGGATTGATGTCAAGTTTTGTACAAAGGATGGGTTGGATATTGATACACAAGTATGCGTAGTACGTCGAGGAAAATGCTCTTTCTGCTGCCTACAAGCGTTGTGTTGATCGTTTCAATGAATTTCAACAGGTAAGACCGAGTGGGATAGACTATTTAGATGCATGAGATTTTGACACATTATGCCAAACATTGTAAAATAGGGAATGAATGAGCCAATGTGGGATAAGCTTCTTCCTGAGCCTTTGCCCGAGCCCTATCGTCGTGCCTACACTTTGGTCATCAATTTGGATGAGACGTTGGTCTACTCCACTTGGGATGTAAGTTATCGATGGAAGGATATAAAAGTAGACTCGGACATCTGAACAGTGATTATAGAAAGAACACGGTTGGCGTCATGCAAAGAGACCTGGCGTCGATTATTTCCTCTCATACCTCTCGCAATTTTATGAAATCGTCATCTTCACCTCCCAGTCATCCATGAACGCCATGCCACTGTTAGATAAGCTTGATCCTTACCAATACGCCATGTACAGACTCTACCGCGAAGCGACTCGTTATGTTGATGGAAAATACGTCAAGGATTTGTCACATTTGAACCGTGATTTGAGCAAGGTGATCATCATGGACTCCAACCCTGATTCGTTCAGCTTGCAACCAGAGAATGGCATTGCATTGAAGCCTTGGAAGGGAGAAGTCAAAGATCAAGGTCTTTTGGAATATATTCCATTCTTGGAAGGTAAGCATCCGAGATAGTTTAGACGCAGGGAAATCTTTGTTTACAATTTGTTTGTGTGTATTTGATAGCTGTTGCTTTGACCACTCCTGAGGATATCCGACCTGTATTGAAGAGTTTTGAAGGACAATATATTCCTATTGAATGGGCCAAGCGTGAGCAAGAAATGAACAAGATGCATAGATTACAGTGGGAACAGGAGCAAGCCAAGAAAAAGACATCTCGTAATCTAGGATCTCTTTTGGGCGGTGGAGGATCTGCTGCTGCTCAAGTGGAGGGGCCACCACCTACCTATTTAGAACAAATGAGAAAGCATGTCAGAGAGACATTTGCATCTGAATTTGAGCAGCAAAAGAAGAGCCAAGAGGCGGCCATGGCACAGGACATGGAGCGACAGATGGAGATGATGAAGGAGATGAAGATGTCTGTTTGGGATTTGATGACACAAGCAGCCTCTGGCCAGCCTTTAGCACCTCCTCCACCTCCATCTGCTGAGGAGCAAAAGTAGATACTACCATAATAAAAGCTTGTAGATTTCTTTGACGTAACATGTGGTGTACCTTATTGCATGCAAAAAGGCGTATGACGAGAAAAACGGAATAGTTTCCGTCTCTTTTGAGCCTAATGTAACACAGTCTTCTACGCCTTGTAATCATCATGAAAATCATCAACTTTAAATTGTGTTGTTAAGCATCAGGTGCTAAAACGATCATCGCTTTGTCGAGGCTGCGATACACTAACAAAACTAAAGCAACATGAAATGGTACCAATGAACATGTCGTCCATGTTGAACAGCAAGGCCATCTCCTACTCAGTCCCACCTAGGGGAAGCAGGAAGAAAAGCATCAAGAACATGAAACACTTTTTAATTTGCCAAATGTGGACAAACAGGAATCCTATATCAGTTCGTATTTCAACAGCATTGGCCCTTTTTAATAAGACTGAAAATGATATAGATCTCTTTATCGATGCCTTGATGGCTTTTCATGTAAAGCGATAATACGGAGCATACTCGCAACCATTCACACTCGCAATCCCAGGGACCACACGCATATATACAGCCACAGCACCATCCTACATGCTCTTCTTTTTTTTTCACAGAGAAATGGCTTGAATTAGATATATATATATCTTAGAGTGCATACAATATGTAAGGTTGGAAGCCCCAACTACTAAACTGCATTATACAGCTATTAAGCAACCTGTCATACTCATATCTCGACTGTGAATGAGAAAAATGGATTGAAATATGAGACATTTAATATGTTCATTTGGGAGGCACACCACCCGTTGTCGTCGTTGAGAGTGTGTATGTCATGGCATGTAGAAGAGTAAGCGATTAAGGTTTTAATGTGTGCTGCTGGATGAGCTGCAATGCTGCCTTGTACATGTTTCCTTGGATTCCTTTTCTCTCTCTCTCTCTCTCTCTCTCTCTCTCTTGTTTGCCAGTGCCATGAAATCGAATTGCTCAACCAGACAAGCTGATACGTAAACCACGTCATTTACTAACAGTACGGTTCAAACGCAAATGATACTGGAGTGCCACCTGATTACCAGATACTCTCATACACACCCCTTTCATATGCTGATACCTCTATTTTTTTTTACTTTACTCGATTTATACATATATAAAATTCATATATAACAACATGTTCAATTAAAAAGCTCTTTTTCTCTTCTTTTCCTCTCTCATTTTCATCTTTTTGTAATATAATATACATAGAAATTCCAGTATAAAAATGCAATATCTTACATCAAGAAATATGTCTTCCATTGCTACCCCTAAGATTCATAAAATGGGTAATAATACTCCTTCTGCTGTCGTTGATAGCACGCCTTGGATGCAGCCATCATCAACTGCCATGACAGATCACTACTACTCATCCTCCTCAAACACATCTCCCTTGCTGAATTCGTCGGACAATGACAATCTGTATCTGCCTGAATCCAACACAAAATCCCACAGAAGCCGTACATCTACCAGCGACATGTGCGTAGAAAAGAACACGGAAGGGAAGCCACCATACTCATACGCGACATTGATCAAGTATGCTATTGAACGTAGTGCTGAAAACAAACTGACTCTGAGTCAAATCTATCAATGGGTCATTGATCATTATCCCTATTATGGATCTGCAGGATCTGGCTGGAAGGTTTGTCCCTAGTTGAGTCTCATGTACTTGAGAGCGATTGCTAATGCTTCAGTAGAACTCTATCCGTCACAATCTCTCCCTCAACAAGAGCTTTGTTCGTGTGCCCCGTCCTGTGAATGAGCCAGGCAAGGGGTCTTATTGGACTGTAGATCAATTTGCAGTGGATACTGAGCAAAGAGTCAGATCGAATGTACGTGGACGCTCCAGCAGATCCAGCAGCGACACATCTCTACACCACCATCGAAACAGCAATGATCCTTGGTTACTTGGTGTTGGCCTCAGACATGGCCGTGATGGTAGATCTCTCTCCACCGATGCAGGCAACCCATCTTGTTCATCTTCCTCGTCTTCCTCATCTGCCGCCGCCGCCGCTGCTGCTGCTGCTGCTGCTGCTGCTTCTGCTGCTGCTGCTAGCGCATCGGGTCCTGCTGGTACTGGCGGACTCGTGCGACGAGTGTCTGGCACATCCCGGTATGGATACTACAGCCATCCGTACGTTGGCTATGGCGATATGAACCAGACAACCAGCTACACTGGGGGGTATTCCAATTACCATTATCAGCAACCACAGCAACGAATGCCCTCACATGAAACGCTTTTATCTGCTCGTCAACATTCCTCTGTAACTTATAGTCTACCTGCTACTGCCACAACTACCAATCAATCTTGTCCAAATAACTTCTCAAACAACACAAACAACAATAATATGTATTCTTTAAATAACTCGATGCATCACCAGCAACAGCCATTTTATTCTCATCGTCAATCTTGCCCAGACTTGACTAGCATCTCTACTCATTCTGAAACAAATATGCTTCCAAATTTTAATACGGCCTCTGCAGCAGCAGCAGCAGCAGCAGCAGCAGCAGCAGCATCTGTATCCTGTCCCAACACCTACAACACCGCACCATCATTCTACGTGAACGAGTCGCCCTCAGCCGCTTCAACCAAATTCATCTCATCCGGTTCTACATCGCCATGTCTAGTCAAGGGGAGATCATCTCAGCAACCGGTTGTTTATTTTGATACGACCAAAGATGTTGGTGTTACCCATTCTGATGTTGGTCTTGCCACTGCCACGACGAATACGTCTAGTGCAACCAGTCATGGTTTACCCGCTGGCCTGCCTTCTCCCGTGTTATCCTCAGGCACCTCGCCTTCTTCTTCGCAACATCTGTCGGTGGCAGATCCACTCTCCATGGTAACACAACAACAACATCAACAACACCCTTCACCCGTGACAACAACATCAGTAGCAACTTCTGTTACCCCTGGAAATAGATTGGCACCATCTTATTTCTCATTGGTATCCACCTCATCTCCTACGGATGCGACAACATCCAAAGAAGAGTGTCTGACTTCACCATCCTCGCCGCTTGTCATGACAGGTAAACCAGAATCAAACTATTGGCTTAGTAGCATGCAGGACTGATTGTGGCATTGTAGATCTATAGATATGCCGTTATATACATTATCCCCCCCCCCCTCATTTCATTTTGAAAATTTATGCTCATTCAATAAAAAAATAACAATCTTTATTATCATCAACAGCAGCAGCAGCAGCAGCGATCCATTCTAGAATATAAACCTTAATAGACACAAACAAACAGCCTTCAGATTTTCCAAACAGAGTCTTTCTTTTGAGCCCAAGCCTGCAGCAAGCACAGTAAAGCGTATCCATCTGTCGGCTCAAACGGCTGATGGAACGACTCTAGAATGCCTTGTGTAGGATTCGGATTCAATAGTTCTTCCACTGTCAATACAATGACTTTGGTCCTACAATAATGTGTGAAATATGCCATCAGTTGTTTTGTATTAATTAAAAACACACTGTATCACACACCTTGCTCGTGATAGCGCTACATTCCATCGTCTAAAGTCGCGTAGAAACTCATTGCTGCTTGATCTCTTGTTATTCGTGCACGAGAAACAGGCAATGATTAATTCACATTCCTGCCCTTGCATCTTCTCTACAGTGTCCACTGGAATCGCTGAACTCGACAACATGTCAAGTTTTCTCTTGATGGCAATGCGCTGCTGATGATGCGGCGTAACGATCATGACACTAGGCTTGGGTCTGATATTGGAGTCCAAGTAAGCAGACACCAGTTGCTGGACAATGTTGGCTTCATTCTCAACTGCATTGGTGGCAACAGGTGGCTGCTGTAGCTTGACGAGTGATATCGATTTCAGTGGGTCTAATATAGCCTGAATGATACTTGCATGATGATGCTGTTGAGGTCTAGTCCAATCAAGCTGTAGCTTGGTCTCTGGGAATCTCGACGTGTAATCAGGGCCGTAGATTTGTTGAAAGAAGCTATTGAGTTCGTTGTTCTATGGCAACGTGTATCAGCCTATCTGTCCACATCATAATACAGCACTGTACACAACTCACCATGCGCCAGTTATCTTTGAGTTGAAGTGTATTTGGTCCAAAGTCATGCAATGCACCTTTCTTCAAGAGGAACTCCCGGGCGGGGATTGCATGATTTTCGTGAGTGCGCATCAAGCACTGCTGAATAGAACCATACAGCAGCGGGTCATCTATAGAGGATGGGATATCCGAGTAGCTATTTTTAATAATAGGTCCCAGTTGCTATGATACCAAGCAGCGCGTAATGTTAGAATACGTGTGTGTATATATGTGTGTGTGTGTGCAATGTGCATTGCATGATGAAGGTTACCATATGATCTCCTGCGATGATAAGCTTGCCATTCGGTTTAGAAAGACAGGCTATTGCTAAAATGGCATCCGAGACCAGCAGCTATCATAACTTAATGTGAACAATTCACGCTAAAGAAGCCAGCAGAGGCCTTACCTGGGTGCTCTCATCGAGAATCATGATATCACATCCCTTTTGCTTGAAGCGTTTCCAATTGCTTCTGATGCGGTCCCATCCCCATACGGTAGCACCTACGACGTAAATCTTGATGGACGTCGCCTTTTTGAGCTTGTTGATGGTCTTGATCGAGTCTTTCCACTCGACGCACATGATGTTGCTGCCCTCCAGTGCCTCGCCGCCGTCCTTGTTCACGTACATGATGGAAAACAAATCGCTCAACCCGTGCTGCTGTTGCACCTTTTCAATACGTTTCAGCAAATTTACGATAGCATCACGTGTGAACGCAGTAACTCCAATCATTAATTCTTTGCTTTTGTTTGCATGCTGATCATTGAAGCATTTGATGTACCAGTTGATAAACAAAGCCAAGAATTCTGTCTTTCCAGATCCCTGTTTGTAAGGAGGCCGTTTTAGTGTGTGTGTGTGTGTGTGTGTGTGTGTGTGTGTGTGTGTGTGTGTGTGTATGTGTGTGTGTGTGTATGTGTGTGTGTGTATGTGGGTGCATCTCATGTACAACTTACAGGCGGGCCCCATATGATCTGTAGTCGTCGTTCAAAGATGCTGGTAGAAATGTGCTTTTGCGATGAAGACATGGCAAATTCATCCAGTAGCTGCTGTGCTCGCGAATTGTTGCGTATGTCAATGTAATCGTTGCTAGTAGGATTCTTCATGGACCATGCATTGGGATTTTGCACAAGTTCCATGACATCAGTCAGCCCCTCCTCGTCTTGGTCTTTATCCAGGTTCCTGAGCGTTTCAGTGCATCGATCCACAGTAAAGTCGGTGTATCGCTTGTACAGTCTCCATCGACGGAAGCTCTTCTTCAAGTTGTAGGAACTGACGACAATATGGTTGAGACGCACTGCCTTGATATCGACGCAGCGGATAAACTTCTTTTGAAAGGTGCCTACATGTATCCATTGAGAAACCTGCTACTGGGCTGAAAACAGCACGTTACTTACCTGCTGTCTTGTACTGCAAATCAGGGTACACAATCGTCTCTATAATGCCGTCTCTGTCGTCAGGCACCAGGATATACTGCTTGAACTTGTCCATCTTCAAACTGTCCATCTTTTGCTGTACATGGGGTCCGTTCAGCGCTGGACTCACAGAGAAGGTATGATCATAGTCAAAGTCTGAGCCTACGCCGTATTCGTACTCCAATATCAGGCCTCCTAGCGTGGCTTCATTGACGCTAATGTGGTGCTCCAGCTTGGACAAGTCTCGGATGCGATCCATGCGCACCTCATCGCACGATTTGATACACTCCAGTTGCTTAAAGAAGACCAGCTTGGCCAGTATTTGGTTGTTGAATTTCTTGAGTGTAGGCCACTTGAACGGCTTGCATTTGAGAGGAAACAAGTCGGTGCCTGTCGCTTGCATGTACTCGGTTGCCAAACGCCAATAAGTCGACATGATCTCCTGCAGCCATGTGAAACGCTTTGAAACCAAAAGCTCAGTTGCAGAAGCAATGTCGTTTCCCGGCGTCTTCCAGTGTGTATAGATTTCGTTGAGATCGAGCCCGTTCATGGCTTCCACTAACTCATCTTCCTTTTCATGAACATGGCTTGTCATCCATTCCACAGCATCAGAGAGACCATAATAGCCTGAAACACCCAGGGCAATGTTTTGTTGCAGCAACTGTTCAATACTGGTAAATCGGCCTACAGCGCTTGTCTTTGGTAAGTCATCCATATCAGGAAAGTGCACAATGCCAGGTAGGCCCAGCAGCTGAGTGTCTTGGAACAGAACAACCAAGCACTGCATGGCTTCTGAGATGACCTTTTTCTTGTCGTCTTCTTGAAGGTTCACAAGATCCTCATTTCCGTGTATCACCACATTGTACAGAAACCGCTGGATTTGCTTCTTTTCTTGGCCATCATACACATAAAACAAGCACCTGGAAGTTTGCTGGTCCATGTACTGCAGCACACGAGTCAGATCAGTGACAAATTTCTCTGCAAATTTGGTGTACACAACCAACTCGTCCTGCAAATGCTCTTGGTAGTCGGCAGTAAAGTAGTACTCAAACACTGTCCGAGTGTTTTGCGCATCCATCACTTGTATGCCATACACAAATGGACGCTGGGAATAGGTGTCCATCTGAAGGTAGATGTAGATGGCATGGTCGATGGCTTGAGCAGTGTAAACAGAGGCGTACCCCATGAATCGAGGCTGATGGTCGTTGTAGGCGCTGACATAGTCTTCGTAGCCTGTCAATGCTCTTTGCTGCTGCTCTCGAGCGGTATCATCAATCTTGAGCGTGTCGAGTCGCTCGGAGAGATCTTCAATGTTGACCATGCTGTTGTTCTTGAGCTGCTTTGCCTTTTCTTCATTCATGTAGGGAATGGATCTGACAGTGCCCGCTGCATCTGATTTGCATCGCTTCAAGAAGGGGCAAGAGATACACTTGCTGCCAAGCACCCACTGCGGATTAGGATCCATGGATATCTTGACAAGCGTGTCCATGTACATGTACTTGATCTTGTTGAGCACGAAATCAATGCGAAACTGCTCGGGGGCATCCATATTGGAGGGAAGCCAAACGCCGCCCATATCGTCCACCTCCAAGTTGTGTATGTCTGTAATCAAGTACGAAAGAAAGAACGCGTACGAGGAGACTTGAAATTGGTGCGAATTAGACATCTTTTTGGACGCTTTGGCATCAATGATAAAGATCTTGCGCATATTGGTGACGGGATCAAGCCGAATATACAGAAAATCAGGTATGAAATTGTTGATGCGGTAAGAGGTGGTATTGTGGATGATGTCTTGGTAAAAGGACTCGGGTAATGAGCATTTCAGCTGGTAAAGGTATTTGCCTGGCTCTGCTTTTCTAAGCGCCTGCTTGAAATCTTGTGTTTTGCTGTGATCCACCATGAGGAGTCGATGGCGTCTAAACAGCTCTTCTTCAAACTCGTTACCTCTATCACAGTGCGCTTCTTTGACGGAGTCGTTTTTGGCAGTGTCGCTTCCATTACTGCTGCTGTCGTTGAGTTCTCTGGCTGATTTAGATAGCAAGTAAATGTGCTTTTCGCAATTGTAGTAGATACTGCTAGCGAGCGAGGATATCGAGTACTTTGCTATAGTAGGCTAGCATACTATTTGTATAAGCGGCCCTGTTTCTTATTTGCTATGTTCTATCGCAGCTGCCACTTACTGCTGGTTGCTCTTGGTCTATCCCGGATGCCTTCAACATCTCTTGGAATATGCGCTGTCTAAGGGTATGCAGTTTAGTTGTTATGGGAAACAAAGAGAGATGGCTAGAGAAAAAAGAAAAGCTTGTCAAATGCACACAAGTAAAATGGATTAGCTTTAAATGGAATCCTGATACAGTTTTTACACTTCAAGTTCAGACAATGTTAGTTTCTTTCTGGACGAATCAAAATTAATTTTTGGACAGTGTGTTTACCTTTTTTAGACAAATAAGAGAATGAAGTTGAGACTAATGGAGATGATCATTCAGACTTTTTTTTTTTTTTACCTGTAATAATCTAAATCCCAAAGAGGGAAACCGTGTTGATTACGGCGATGGGAGAATGTAACGTTTATCGATTGTTTCTTCTGAAGATTTTGGGTATTGCATCGTCGATCCAGACAGAAAGAGAAATGGACATCATGTTTTTTGCAGCGTTTACATCTCTTTGCCAAAGTGTATTACATGTTGTACAGACAAGTACACTTTGACCTTTGACATTTGAATGGCCTTTCAGTGTCCGACTTTTGCATATATTGCAAATTTGGGAGGTCAGAAATTCGTCAATAGTTATGACTAGAAGATCACCAGCAGCTTCTCGTTTCTTGAGACATCTCCACATGACCCCAGCAACACCACAGCGTAAGCCTTTCAGCTTTACCAGATCTTTTCCGAACATTCCGTTTCCAAATACAACAAGTGGAACTTTGGATTTGTCTTCTTCCTGATATTTTAAAGGTCTCCACTTATTTCGCCTAGTAAAGTGCATAAAATGAGTAGGTTTATAGGAACACATGAAACTGAATTAATGAACTTACTTTCTGTACTGTTGTTGCTTATTCTTTCCTTTCTTATTTTTGTTCTTGTGCAACCGCTTCGTTTTCTTGTTATGTCGTTTTTGTTTTTTGTTCTTCTTTTTAAAACGCTTCTTCTTATTGTATTTAGCACCGCCGTTTAACAACATGTTGACCATCATGTCAGGAGCTCTTTGTTTTCCTTGGTATAAGTTAAACCGATGTTTAGCAGTACTGAAGCCATAAAAGGTGAACAACGTGTCCATGTTTGGAAGTATGTAATCTACATATCGTAAAAATTGGGTATTTCTCGCAGTTTTCGCTGAAGGTATAGCAGACTCAATTGCGGTGATTCCGGCGGTGTCCTTTTCTTGTTGCAACTTCTTTGCATACACTGTGGAGCCTGTCAAATGGTAGTACTCTTTTGTTGTGCACCGTCTCACTTGATGTACATCAGGATCTAGTCCAATAGCTGCAGTAAACACTGTCTTTCTGCCAGGGTCAAGGAAACTTGGTCTATACAATTGGGTGACCTCTTCTATGGTAAAGTCCTTTATACCCAAATCGTGATTTACTGTTGATATTTCGTCCGTTGTACCAGAAGTTCTTTTATAAAAGAGAAAATCAACACAGAAGCCATCAGACCTGACGATATTGCCAAACAGCACGTCATTCTCTTCATTAGGCATCAGTTCTTCAATACTATGGTTAAAGTCAAGTTGGTGTCTTTCCTTGGTTTTAGATTTCGAGATATTGTATTTACCTGCTATAGCCTAGTAATTTGAAATTGAATACTTGGTAAAACAATCGAAGTTGATTGGCATAGCCTCTAGGCAATGGATTCTTGACAAAGACAGACAACGCGTTCGCACTGATAGCCAAAGATCTCCAGTGCACTGAAGGTGTTGGTAAGATACTGAATAATCTTGGTATAGGAAGCCGCCGAACATCAAAGGCATGGTGAAGCTCGTGTTCTCCTTTATATTGATTCAAGATGTGCTCGAGACATTTGTACACCTTTTCGGGGGCAGAGGATAGAGTAATCAGGGTCACCCTTTGATCAATGAGAGCTCTTATTGACTCACATTCTTGGTCTACACGGTTTTTTATAGCATCTTCTAAGAAGCCTGAGGGTATAGTCAAATCGTTTGGCCATATTGGATCTCCTTGGCACACGTATTGGTAGGAATAATCTTTGGCAATCTTTTTCACAGTGTTACGATCCATTTGCTATATGTCATATATATATATATGTGAGTTATATATTTTAGAAGGAGTGCTTTACATTTTTGCATTACCTTGAAAATGTTTTGCAGTTGGTAATATAGATATTTCAGAAGATGCGCCTCAAAATTCTCTACTATATTGTTCTGGTAGCTAGTGGCTATCTCAGTGCACACCTCGGCTATACATTGGGAGGCTCCTCCTTCAACCTTCTTTTCATAAACAATAGTCCTATGAGTAGATCTAAATCTATTCCAGACTACTAGTATATCTGATGGTATGTTTGTACTGCTTGTAACTCTTTTTGCATTCACCATTTTGACAGACGGAATACCAAAATTGTTGAGTAAAGATACAGTGAGGGATATCATTGTTTTGCTGTTGTTGGGAGCGAAGTGTAATATAATAGTTTACAAAGAGCTTGGCACGGAATACTATCTCCCGTATATCTCTGCTAACAGAAATGATTGCTGGCTTCAGGCGGTTTATATATTGTTGGTGGACACAGTTGTCGAGAGGCAGCTTTCTGGTGAAAGCTTGATATCCCTGGCCAAGATTTTCTTTGAGTGTGGCTTGCTTGGAGGCGATATGAGCTTCACATTTTGGTGATCTTGCTGATTTATGGCCAGTCTTGTGACACTTCTTGCATATATCTTGGCTGCCTTCATTGCTAGAAGAAGCTCTAAGCTTCTTTGCATGTCTTTTGTCGGCTTTCACACTGTCACTCTGTTTGCGTTTTTTTGCTGGACGTTCCAACTTTGATATAATAACATCAGAAACAAACAGGGTATAAGGGTAGAGTACTCTTTCAAAGCATGTATACTTACCATCATCGGCATTGATTTGTTTATAAAGTTTGCATTTCAAATAAGCCTTTGAAAAATGACCAGTTTCTTTGCAGTCTTTGCATACACTTGTACTATTAGCAGAGCCAACTCCTTCTTGAAAACTGTTTAACAGAAACGATATGCAATATTTATACCTTCTTCTAAGCACCTTTGTTCTTTCACAGACTGAATCTTATTCAAAATTGTTGCTTCGTACATAAAGAGATTTTACATAAACTTAGAAACTTTGATAACAGAATATTGCGATAGAAAGAGAAAGAGAAAGGAAGAAAAATATCAATTGGTTTATCACGCATAATACGTATAAGTTTAATTCTGACACAACAGATCAATAAATCACTACTAATTTAACAGTTAAAAGAAAGCAACTTTCTACAATTGATGATGGCCAGATCTTCAGCATGTATTACTGCAAAGAGCCGTTCCTTCTTGATTCAAGAAAAAGAAAGGACACCTAAGCTGATGGTGGTACTAAGAAAAAATACAATAGAAATCAAGAAGCAAGCAGAAACAGAAAGCCAGGAACAAAAGGAGAGAAGAGAATGACAATATGTTTGCTTTTGTAAACCAGTAGACCGGATATCATTACTGCAAAAATATATACAGTATATGCATATTAATGTATTTGATAGAGAGAGAAACTATACGAAATGCAAGCCAAAGGCTTCTTTGGTATTATTTCGAGCCGATATGTTTGGCAAAGATTCGATCCGCTTGAAGGGATAGAACTATGGAGTCACCGGGATCTTTTACAAAGCTTTGAAGAGGAGAGAAAGGAACGGCGGTTTGACAGCTGTTTCTATCGATGATCATCCTGCTCCAAAAATATGTTTTAAATGTATGAGCAGCACTCAAGGTGTATCAAGCAGCATCATGGTTGTATTGCTCCTGTTTGTAAGGCAAGAGGTAGATAAACCAAACAAAAATCGGCGTAATAAGCACGGTCTTCCTTTTTTACACTTTTTCCCAAAAATGAAAAGAGACAAACTCAGAGGTTCGAGTGTCCTATTTACTACAAAGGCTGTTTATTCAAGCATGCCTCAAATTTGTTGACAAAATAACGAGCAAATCCCTCAAGATCGCTATACAAAACGCTGTTACATACATCGGCTATTCTACTAGTGAGGTTCTCGTCTGACAATAACCTTTCTCTTTTCAGCTTGCTTTTTACGACATGCCAAAATTGTTCAATAGGGTTTAGCTCAGGAGAGTATGGAGGAAGATATACACATCTGTAGCCTTGCTGAATGATACATCTTTCAATGTCATTGGCCGTATGAATAGGCGCATTATCCATTATGATATAGAAGCCTTTGAACCTATCATCCTTATCCAAAGCATCCAGTGTCTTAGCCACAAAATTGAAACAATGCCCTGTTACGGTACCCCCCAGATCCTACTTTGCCAGAGCCTCCGCCTATCTTTCTTTTCTTAACAGAGGCACCTGGTATTCTTACTTGAACATTGGTAATGCCCCAAACACTTACTGCACCGAGAATAGTTGTGGTTTTGGCCCTCAGTACAGGAACAGCCACCTCAGCACGAGTTCCCCTCTCAGACCAAGCCATTGTTCGCTTCAGGTTGATAAGGAAAGCAGATTCATCAAGGAAGACGTAGTTCGACATGTAGTCCATATCTGTTTGCTCCCATTTCTTAACCCATTCGTAGCGATTTTGGATACTTTCAGGGGAGTTTCTTTGCTTTGAGTGGAGATGGGCCTTCTTGAATGACAAGGCACAGTTATTGACCATATATTGATGGACCAACGACTTACTGATCTTTAAGCCAGGAAAAGCTCCAATTAAATTTTCCATGGCCTGATCTATAGTGGCAGAAGGGCTGTCCACAAACTCTTTCTTCAGGTGCTCCTTGTGGTCATCGTTGAGAAGCCTTGATCGGCCAACTTTCTTCGTCTCAGTTGAGCCAGGAGTGTCTTCGCCATCATCGTTTCTCCTGTTGATTTTGTCTTGGTCATCTTTATACCATCGGTACGCAGTAGACCGAGGTATGTTGGCAGCTTTAGTAGCTTTGCCGGCGGTCATATCGTCATTGTATATGAAGTTGAAGAACCTGGCCTTATATTGATCGGTATAAACATTATGGGCTCGAGTAGATGTGTCCTTGTTTTTGGCATTCTTCATCTCAACGTCGCGAGTAACCTTTTCTTTTTCAGCAGGCTTTTTATCAGTGCAGATACTGTAGTTTGTAATGTCCCCTAATGGATAGCTCACCTCATCTACCTCCATGTTGACAGGCCCACTTCCATATTCGTCTACAGGAGGATTAATGCCATCCTCTTGATAAACTTTGTAGGCAATCATTTTTATGATTATTAAAAAGTGAAGATTTGTGCCAAACAAATTTGAGAATTGCCCCATCTGTTTTTTAATTCTGTCCCTTACGTTTTCGCAAAGTGTCCCAATCATTTTGGGAAATCCTGATATTGCTTGGGCGTAAATAGTCAACTGAAAGGTTTCACGAGGATGACTTGAATAGGAACTCGAAAGTTTTGCACGATGCGAAGACTGGAACAATAACAAGCACATGTAGTTGGAAAATGAGTGTGTAATTAGACACAATGGGAGTTACTATTCAGGTTTGATGCCAAAGAGTATGTCATTGGATTCGCTGGAGAAGAAGCCAGAGACTAAGAATTTTATTAACAATGCAAAGTATCTAAATGGGTGAAATTTTAAAAGGTATGTCAATGATTTAATGCTTGGAGAGATCACCAGTAATGGCTTCAGTGAAACCACGATTTTGATCGTTCGATGAAGAAGATCCACTGTCGACCTGAGCCTTACCAAAGCTATTGCTGGAATCAAGCTCAATTGTATTTTGATCATTCGACATGTAACCTTCTTCAAATTCAGAGAGATCTTTGCCCTTGGACTCTGGTACCCAGAAGAATGTGACAACGAAGCCCAAAAACATGACAGCAGAAAAGATGCCCAATGTTTGAGGCAAGAAGGCATGCTGTCCGGGCTTGGTATCACCAACTTCAACCAACACATTAAAGGCAAAGGAAGCGATGATAGCGCCTGCCTTGCCAGAAGCAGCAGAGATACCATGAGCAGATGCGCGAACCTTGGTAGGAAAGACCTCGCCAGGGATGATGAACGTTGTCGCATTGGCACCGAAATTTTGAAACAGCTGTGCCAATGTAAACAAGAAAATGAAGGCAGGCATCGAGTTTTCAATCAGGAGATGGTAACAACCAGCGAGGATAGCAAAGATGACTGTAGTGACAGCAAATCCTTGGAGTTGGATCCATCGTCTTCCTAGTTTCTCAACTGTAAAGACAGTAATGTAGTAACCTGGGACAGAGCCAAGCACAGTGATGATGACTTGACCGATGGCATTCCACCACAATGATTCAAAGGGTGTAGACTTGTTGGCAAACCCAATAGCAGCCAAAACAGCAGAGTTGTTGAGACCAAGACCGTAAAAAGCGATATCCAACAAGAACCAAGAGAGAGATGTACCGAGCAGCACCTTCAAATGTTTCCATTGACTGAAATAAGCACGGAATTCAGCCCAGTGATCACGCTTCGTTTCTTCTCCATCGACAGTACGCTCTCTTTCAGCTTCAACATGCGCTTCTTGGAGCTGCTCACCTTTGACAGCAGCGGCAGCGGCAGCTTCTTCGATATCATGCTTAACATTGAGTGCATATCGAGGAGATTCTGGCATAGTAAATCTGAGATAGACGGTAGCAACAGCAGGAACAGCACCAAGACCGATGCAAAGACGCCATACGTAATCCAAATTCATCACATCAGCAATGATGGCTTCCTTGAAGATGGCGAGTAAAATGATGGTAACAATAGCAGCAGCAAGAGTACCAATACCTATGAAACCTTGTTGGAAACTGATATATCACTCAAGACTGCAATGCTTACCTTGCATACTGAAAATGAGAGCCATCATTTGACCACGCTTGCCAGTGGAGGACCATTCAGAAGTGATAGTAGCAGACATGGGGTAATCACCACCAATACCAATACCCAATATCAGACGCCAGCACCCGAGAAAGCCAATTGCAGAGACACCACGAACAGCAGAAGAAGCAGTAGCACAATTGATGGTACCAACAATGATGATTAAAAGCTCAAAACCATAGATTTTACGGCCCAAAATATCGCCCAAGAAACCAAACAAGAGCTGACCAATCAATGTACCTACAGAGGCCATACCTTTGACAATACCTTCCACATCAGCAGGCATTTTATTGCTGTTGGAGGCATAATACACATAGCCTAGCATCGGTGTCACTAGATTGATGATGAACACATCGTAAGAATCTGTAAAGAAGCCAGCGCCTGATGTGAGGATGGTTCGCACCATGAACCAATTAAAGGTTTTGTCTTTTTTCTCGAGAGATTGTAAACTAGCAAGATTTATTTCGGCTTGCTGGAATCTGGAGGACCCTTGATGCTCATAATCGTCATAGTAACTCGTTGATCCCATTTTATAGTGTAATAGAATGTTTGATGTAGACGAAGAAAAAAAAAAGCGAACGTTGAATGGCATTTAGGCCATCATTTTATATGAAAAATACAAAGCAAGTCGTGTGAGGTCGTGTGGAATAACGTTGATTGGCATTAGTTGATGAGCATGCCCTTTACACAAGCCAATCAGTAAGGAACTTTAGGTGCTCATGCAATCAGTTGTTGATGATGTTTGATTTTCAAAACTAAGACCACGCCAGCGGGATTATCGCCTGATTTTGCTACCCGCATACCGAGGGACACAAAAAATCTACAAGAAAGCATCCTTTTCTGGAAGTATTATAGAAATTAGGAAAATGGGGTTTCTACTAATAGCAACATCAAGGCATTTTGGATAATACCAATATTCATTTGAATCACTGAAAAAGAAGAGGAAATTCCAAAGGTGATGTGGATAAACTATAACTACATTTGATATCATGCTTGGAACGTTTTGAACGTGGAGATCACCATCCATCTGATTGGCTTGATAGACATGGGGAAAATGATTCTTCCTGGCTTGAAAAAATTAGCATCGTTTCTGCGCTTGAAGGTTTCAATGAATTGGTAAGCAGAAGATTGGTAATAAATAACGATGCATAAATTACTTACAGTCATGAAGGCTTCCATTTTTTTTTGTCGATATACAAATACTTCCCAATCAGTGATGTGAGCATACACTGTTGCTTCACTTGAATAAGTGCGAGTGTAAATGTTACATTCGGTATCAGTAATTGTCTTTGCTACATGTTGCTTGCTAGCTAACTGAAGCCTAAATGCACATTTGTATGTAATCATTGCTACCGTTTGCATACAATATTAGTGTTTACGTTTATTTAAATAGTGATTGCAAGTATTTCTCTCTGATACCTCCATTAACCTTCCTCATTTTCCGGCGACCAAATCATCAGTACTTTTATCAACAATTTAAAACACTTTCTCAAGACATTCTTTGAGAACTCCATGTCTTCTCAAGGACAAAGACAAATAACAAGCTCGTATTACTCTATGCATATCTAGCCATCATGTAATGCTACTTGAAGAGACAAAAAACGAAACGCTGCTGAACAATTACAAGGTTATTCTTATAGCTTATCCGATCTCTTAAAATCAATCAACATTAACAAAACAATAAAGCAACCGCTACATGCACTACGGCTCGAGATTTTGCAAAAATGAAATGCTCATTAACAGGGTCGAACTGTTGACCTTGGCGTTATTAGCACCACGCTCTAACCAACTGAGCTAAACGAGCATGGATGCTTGAATGGCTCACTTGGTTAGAGCTTCATGCGGAAGCAGTGAGTATGCCGAGAGGTCGTGGGTTCGAATCCCACCTTCGCATCCATATTTTCCGCCTTTCTAACCTGGCATGTTACTCGGTATTTGTGCTTGCACGTTTAGGTGTGCTGCGGTGCGTCTGGCCGGTTTCTACCTTGAGTCCTGTTCGTCTCCCCCGTCTTGCGGCGTGGCCATTGCCATTCTTCCTTCTGTTTCTCCTCTTCTCTGGTGGGTTTTGATGCCGTTTTCATTACTGGTCCCCTCCCGTTAGCAGCTTCCCTCAACCTTTAATTTAAACATGCTTTTTCCCGCCGAATCACTGTTAGTCTTGCAACATATGATCATACCGATTCCGCAGTTGACTACAATTGTAAATAAATAAAATCCAATATTAAACTGAGCTAAACGAGCCCCGTTTTTCGACACTTTTTGCCACCCTCTTCGGAAAAAGTATCCTGAAAACCACAAAAAACGTAATATCTCATCATCCAGTACTCCAATCCGCTCGAAATTGTACCAGTATACTTGCATCCATCAACAGTTTATTGTGTTATAATTTCAGAATTGTCGTACACCTGTTTCATATTTTTTCGAATTGTTGGAATTTCAAAAAATATTCAACGCCATGGACACCAATCTACAAGCTCTGGATATGAGTCACTTTCCAGCGATACTGCAACAAATCCAGCAACAACTTACTTTGGTAACAGAGAAAGTTAACAAGCATGAGGACCTCCTTACACGTTTGGCTGCTTTGGAACAAGAAAACAAGGATCTGAAAAAGATTTTACAAGACAAAGACCTGGTTATTCAAAAATTACAACAAGGTCCAGTTACTAGTCACACCACTTCTCCTGGTTCGGGTCGACCGAAGGGGGGCGAAAGTTCCTCTATCCCAGTGTCTCCAAAGCCTCTCAAGGAAGCTCCTAATTTCGCCCAAATCGCTACTGCTGCTGCTCACAAGCCTGATCCTAAGAAAAAAGACAAAAAACGTCTTGCTGCTGGTCGTGCCTTTACCACTCCTGCTACCAAAGGTGTCCAGGGCTATCAATATGTATATATTGGTAGATCCCGAAAGATCCAACGTTCTGAAGTGCGTAAGCATCTAGCTAATGCTAGTGTTGATCTGGGTCGTGTCTTGGATATCTGCTTTCCTGCCTCCCATATTATTGGTGTTCTGTTGCACGTTCAATACGTTGAGGAATTTACTGCTTTATTGACCAAGGCTAAGGGTGAACTGTTTCCTGCTTTTGATCCATTGGACCCCAGCAATATTGCTGATCCCAAGTACGCCAGCCTCTCTGATGATGATCGTCATGCTCTGATCCACCAATTTACTGAAGCTCGCTGCCTGCAAACTTTGTCCTTCCTCCGCCCACTTAATGTTAGTGGTGTCGGTAAGTACTTTATACAGAAAGGTTGGATCTGCGATGAAAGTCTCTCTGTTGCCGTTGCTCAGGCCGTTGAACGCTTTGCTAAGAAGGAGCCCAAAAAGGCTGATTTCCTGTTCCGTCGCAAGCTGAACTCTGATTCCCAGGACAAGGCTGGATCTGATAGTGATATGTCTGATGTGGATCAATAATGAGTTCCTTCTCTGCCCCATCTATACTGCCTAATAATGTTAATGTGCCTGTCTCCCCGGTTTTCGTCTCTCTTTCACTCTGGAATGCCAATGGTCTTCGCCAATCAACAGTCCATGATGTTCTCTCTCATGTACTGGATACTCAGGTTCTGCTGGTTACTGAAACTTGGCTTACATCTGGCTCTTTTCCAACAAACTGGTCTCAATTCCATCTCTATGGTTCAAAAGTACCTGGTGCTTTCAATCGTGGTTCTGGTGGTGTCACTGCCTTTGTCTCTCCTTCCTGTCCCTTCACTGTCTCCCAACTACCTTCTTATAATCCGCACACTCTGTCTCTAAAGGTTGGCACCCTTACGGTTCATTGTGTTTACTTTCCTCCACCCTTATCATCTGATAAGGTGCTCTCGGCCCTTAGTTCACTACCTATGACTAGGGATACTATCCTCTGTGGCGATTTCAATGCTCGGTTGGGTTCTCTCACTGGTGATGCTATCTCCAATGCTCGTGGTAATGCTCTCAAACCTTGGTTTGATGAACATTGCTTGTCTGTGCTCAATGCGTCTTTGGCTTTTGGCGTTACGACGTACTCTTCTTTTCGGCAGCAGCAAGAATTGAGTAGTGTCATTGATTTGTTTTTGACAAATATTGGTGATGTTGCTTTGGTGAATCCTCAACTGGTGGTTGAGTCTGATCTGTCTCTTGGTTCTGACCATCGATTGATGTCACTTACTTTCGGGTATGTGCCACCTCTCGATGACACTGTGGCTCCTGGTGATTCTGTTCTGGCTCCTCGGCGTCAATGGAAGCTCTCGAAATTGACGAAAGAGAAGCCTTTGGGCTTACTCCGTGAATCCTTTCGATCTTCTGTTGCTCCTCTGGTTGTTACTCTCTCTGGTTTGGTGTCTGCTCCTCCTGGTGTCCGTCCAGATATTGATGCACTCAACGATTCTTTGAATCAATGTTTGTATGAATCTCTGGATAGTTCTATTGGTGTAAAATCCGGTCGTCCTGGCCATTGGAAGAAGTACTGGATACAAGAAATTCAGGATGCTGCTACTGCACGCGATCGCTCATATAGTCAATGGAGGCATGCCTTTGGTATTGCCAAAATTGAAAAATGGTTCTTATACAAAGTTGCTCATCGCAAGTTTCGTTCCCTGGTACAAGCTGCAAAGCGAAGGTCCTGGCAACAATTTTGTACTGCCCTGGAGTGTGATTTCTCAAAAGCTACTGCTGCTATTAAGCGCATCAAGCGTAATAAAGAATCCTCTCCTACGTACAGCCACCCTGATGGTCCTGCTGCTTCTGTCTCTGCTATGGGTTCTCATCTCGCCTCGGTGTATGATGGCTCTCTGCTTGCCACTGCTACTCGTCCTGCTGTTCCTCCCACCTTTGACTCTGTTCTGCCTTTCTGTGTGCCTGTGGACATGTCACTGTTTGATGTTGATACTTTAGTATCTCATATTCGACGGCTCCCAACACATAAAGCTCCTGGTCCAGATCATATCAAGGCTGAGATGCTCAAGTCCTTGGTCTCTGAGATTGCTCCTGTCTTGTCGTTGCTCTTCAAATTGTGCTATCAATGGTCGTATACTCCTGCTCTCTGGCGCCAAGCCCAAGTCTTTCCCATTTTCAAGAAAGGTGATGCTTCTGACCCCGCCAACTATAGGCCTATTTCTCTGACTTCTGTTGTGCGCAAACTGTTTGAGTTCTCTCTCATGCCTGAGCTGGATGCCCATTCTCCTGCCCTTGACATTGCCCAAGGTGGTTTCCGCCCTCAACGTAGTCCTCTGGATCAAGCCCTCTGCTTGCATGACTTGATGCATGATTACTTTGTTGCGCACCGTCGTCGTCCTGTTGTCGCTTTCTTGGATATCAAGTCAGCATATGACACAGTCGATCGTCGTGTTATCTGGTCTGCTTTGGCTGGTTCTAGTCTTCCTCGTGCTGTTCTGGGTCTGTTGATCAACATGTTTGATGATGTGTCTGTCTCTGTCTTGATTGCTAATCACAACTCGACTGCCTTCTCTCCTGTCACTGGTGTTCTGCAAGGCTCAGTGCTCAGTCCTCACTTGTACTCGTTGTATATCAACTCTTTACCAAGTCTTTTGCGTTCT